AAATGTATGTTCTGTGGACCTGGGGTGAAGAATTCTATAAATACTCACTGAGTTTACTTGTTCCAGGTCTGAGTTCAAATCACAGATGTCCCTGTTAATTTTCTATCTCATTGATCCGTTGAATATTAACAATGTGGTGTCAAAGTCTCCCGCTATTATTGTGCGGGAGTCCAAGTCTCTTTATAAGTCATTAAGGACTTGTCTTATGTATCTGGGTGCTCCTATATTGTGTGCATATATATTTATGATCATTGACTCCTGTTGTTGCATTGATCCTTTTACCATTATGTAATGTCCTTCTTTGTTTCTTTTAGTCTTTGTTACTAATAAAGTCTATTTTATCAGAGACAAAAGTTACAACTCCTGTTTTTTGTTTTTGTTTTTGTTTTTTTGCATGTGTATTCATAAGGCATGTTGGTTTGTAATTCTTTTCTTTTCTTTTTTTTTTTGTTGAGATGGAGAATTGCTCTGTTGCCCAGGCTAGAGTGCAGTGGGACCATCTCAGCTCACTGTAACCTCCACCTCCCAGGTTCAAGCAATCCTTCTCCCTCAGCCATCTAAGTAGCTGGGATTATAGTCGTGCACCACTGCACTCAGCTAATTTTTTGTATTTTTATTAGAGATGGGGTTTCACCATGTTGGTCAGGCTGGTCTCGAACTCGTGACCTCAAGTGATCCGTCCACCTGGGCCTCCCAAAGTGTGTGAGGCACCACCCCTGGCCTGTAGTTCTTTTCTTGACTTTGTCTGGTTTTAGTATCAGGGTAATGCTGGCTTCATAGAATGAGTTAGGCAGTGTTCTGTTTGTTAGTTTGTTAGTTGTTTCCATAATAAACGACCTCAGACTGGGTAGTTTAAACAACAGAAATTAATTTTCCCAAAGTTCTCAAGCCCAGAAGTTCAAAATCAAGGTGTTCGTTCACAGGATTAGTTTCTTCTGAGGCTGGTCTCCTTGACTTACACATGGGCATCTTTTTCCTATGTCTTCCCTTTCTATTTGTCAATGTCCTAACTCCTCCTCTTAAAAGGACTCCAGTCATATTGGATTGGAGCCAACCATGTGATACTGTATCACCTTTATTACCTCTTTAAAGGCCCTGTCTCCAAAGATGGTAACATTCACAGAATTTTAACATAGGAATTTTAGGGGACACAGTTCAGACCATAACATGTTTTCTCCTCTTCAAATTTTTTGAAAGTCTGTTAGACGGGTTGTTGTTAATTCTTCTTTTAATGCTTTCTAGAATTCACTGGGTAAGTTGTCTAGTTCTGTTATTTTCTTTGGTAGGAGTTTTTTGATGACTGATTCAGTGTTCTCATTAGTGATAGGTCCATTCAGAGGTGTTATTTTTGTCTTCTGTTTTTTTTTTTTTTTTGAGATTGAGTCTCACTCTGTCACCCAGGCTGGAGTGCAGTGGTGCAATGTAATTTCACTGCAACCTCAGCCTCCCGGGTTTAAGTGATTCTTGTATCTCCCAAGTTTTTTGCATTTTTAGTGGAGGTTAGATTTTGCCATGTTGCCCAGGCTGGTCTCAAACTCTTGACCTCAGATGATCCACCCACCTTAGCCTCCCAAAGTACTGGGATTACAGGCATGAGTCACCACACCTGGCCTATTGAGAGTTTCTATTTTTCCTTAAGTTGGTTTCTTCAACAGATTATGTTTCTAGGAATTTGTTCACTTCATTTAGGTTATTCAGTTTGTTGGCATACAGTTGTTCATAGTCTCATAATCCTTTTTATTACTTTTTTTTTTAAGTTTTAGTTGACACGAAATAGTTGTATAGTTTTTTTATTTCTGCAAAATTGGTGGTCATGTCCTCACTTTCATATATGTTTTTGTAATTTGACTCCTCTCTTTTTTCTTAGTTTAGGTAAAGGTTGTCAATTTTGTTGATCTTTCCAAAGAACCAACTTCTGGTTGTTTTGATTTTTTTAAATTGATTTTTTATTCTCTGCTGTCATCTTTATTATTTCCCTCTTTTTGCTAGCTTTGGGTTTAGTTTGCCTTTCTTTTTCTAGTTCCTTAATGTGTACAGTTAGCTTCTTGGTTAGAGATCTTCCTTTTTTAAAATTCTATGTGTGGGGCCGGGCACAGTGGCTCAAGCCTGTAATCCCAGCACTTTGGGAGGCCGAGGCGGGTGGATCACAAGGTCAAGAGATCGAGACCATCCTGGTCAACATGGTGAAACCCCATCTCTACTAAAAACAAAAAATTAGCTGGGCATGGTGGTGCGTGTCTGTAATCCCAGCTGTACAGGAGGCTGAGGCAGGAGAATTGCCTCAACCCAGGAGGCGGAGGTTGCAGTGAGCTGAGATCGCTCCATTGCACTCTAGCCTGGGTAACAAGAGTGAAACTCTGTCTCAAAAAATAAAAAATAAAAAAAATAAAATTCTACGCATTTATAGCTATAAATTTTCCTTAGCACTACCGTCACCGCATACTGTAAGTTTTGATGTGTTGTGTTTTCATTTTCATTTGCCTCAAGTTATTTTCTAATAAAAATTTGAATTTTATTGGTTTTACAGTTTTTAAATGTTTGCCTTTTTGGCCTTAGAGTTGCCAGCTACAGCTTTTATTTTTTATTTTATTTCTTTATTTTTTGAGACAGAGTCTTGCTCTGTTGCCCAGGCTAGAGTGCAGTGGTGTGATCTCAGCTCACTGCAACCTCCGCCTCCCAGGTTCAAGTGATTCTCCTGCTTCAGCCTCCCTAGTAGGTGGGATTACAGATGCATGCCACCACTCCCAGCTAATTTTTGTATTTTTAGTAAAGATGTGGTTTCATCATGTTGGCCAGGCTAGTCTCGAACTCCTGACCTCAAGTGATCCACCTGCTTCAGCCTCCCAAAGTGCTGGGATTACAGGTGTGAGCCACTGTGCCCAACAAGAACAGCTTTTATATCTCATTTCATGTTTATTCATATTAAAGAGGCATTATTTTAAAAAACTATATAATCAACATTGAGCTATCTGTGAGAACCCTCCTCTAAATGGACTCCGTACATTATCCAAGTTTTGCCCAAGAGATCTAAAGAATGGAGAAAGGGCTGGACATGGAAGCTCACACCTGTGATCCCAGCACTTTGGGAGGCTGAGGCGGGTGAATCACAAGGTCAGGCGTTCGAGACCACCCTGACCAACATGGCAAAACCCCGTCTCTACTAAAAAAACAAAATACAAAAAATTAGCTGGGCGTGGTGGCATGTGCCTGTAATCCCAGCTACTTGGGAAGCTGGGCCAGGAGAATTGCTTGAACCTGGGAGGTGGAGGTTGCAGTGAGCTGAGATCACACCATTGCACTCCAGCCTGGGCGACAGAGCAAGACTCCATCTCAAAAAAAAAAAAGGATGGAAAAAAAGACAATGAATAAGTGAATCTATGATCTAAATGGGTCTAGATACACTATTCCTGGTGAACCTTAAGAATAATCGAGAAATCCAAGTAGACTGAAGATCTCTGTCAAGGGGAAAGCTGGCTTGTAGGCCAGACAGCAACTGTGCTTCAAGCTTCTTACAACTCCGATTCAATTAAGTTTTCTCTTCTTTCATTCTATTTTATTCCCTAGCTCCCACTCCCCAGTGTCTCCACTGTCATGTTCATAGTCCTCTCTCTTTATTTTTTTCTTTTGAGATGGAGTTTCGCTCTTGTCACTCAGGCTAGAGTGCAATAATGTGATCTCGGCTCAGTGCATCCTCTGCCTCCCGAGTTCAAGCTATTCTCCTGCCTCAGCCTCCTAAGTAGCTGGGATTACAGGTGCCTGCCACCATGCCTGGCTCTTTTTTGTATTTTTCAGTAGAGACAGTGTTTCATCATGTTGGCCAGGCTGGTCTCAAATGCCTGACCTCAGGTGATCTGCTCACCTCAGCCTCCCAAAGTGCTGAGATTACAGGTGTGAGCCACCATGCCTGGCCCATAGTTCTCTCTCCAGTCAATTTTTTGTGACCATTGGAAAAAAATGCTGCATGAATGCATTTGTTCGATTTGAAAATAGTTAGACACTTGGGTAACTGATAGACATGAACTTGCCAGTTCTGCGCAGGTTGCAAGTTCCAAGTCTTGCCAGTTTACTTTACTTTCTGAGCATGTTCACCTTTGCCAAGGAAAGCTTTGGACTTATTGCTCTAAACTAAGCCACTTTTAAACTATCAGGGGAGATCCTTTTGGGCTGACCTAGGAGACAGTTTCTTTTAAAAGGTATACTTTAAAAGGTGCCGTGGCTCACACCTATAATCCCAACACCTTGGGAGATCAAGGCAGGAGAACCCCTTGAGGCTAGGAGTTTGAGACCAGCCTGGGCAACACAGTGAGACACTGTCTCTATAAAATTAGTTAGGTGTGGTAATGCACCCATAGTCTCAGCTACTTGGGAGTCTAAGGTGGAAGGATCACTTGAGCCTGGGAGTTTAAGGCTGCAGTGAGCTATGATTGTGCCACTGCACTTCAGCCTGGGACCCTGTTTCCAAAGAGTTTTTAATTTTTAATTTGCATTTATTTCTGTTTTTTTGAGACAGTCTCGCTTTGTACCCAGGCTGGAATGCAGTGGCGCAATCTTGGCTCACTGCAACCTCTGCCTCCTGGGTTCAAGTGATTCTGCCCCTGCCTCCCGAATAGGTGATTGCAGGCACGCACCATCATGCCCAGCTAATTTTGTGTTTAGTAGAGATGGGGTTTCACCATGTTAGCCAAACTGGTCTTGAACTCCTGGCTCAAGTGATCCACCCACCTTGGCCTCCCAGAGTGCTGGGATTATAGGTATAAGCCACCGTGACTGGCCTCTCAAAAAAGTTTTTTAAAAAAGGTAGGCTCAGGCCGGGTGTGGTGGCTCACGCCTGTAATCCAAGCACTTTGGAGGCCAAGGTGGGCGGATAACCTGAGGTCGGGAATTCAAGACCAGCCTGACCAACATGGTGAAACCCCGTCTTAAAAAAAATAAAAATAAAAAAAGGTAGGCTCCTACTTGACTGCATGTTCTAAGGCAGGTACACCTCTCTCTCACTGCAGGTTTTCCGGAAGCCCCATGAGGTGGTGACGGTGCTGCTGATTCAGACCCTGGGGGCCCTCACGCCCTCACTGCCCTCCTGCCTCAGCAGCGGTGTGGAGAGGGCAGGGCCGGAGCAGGAGCTCACCAGACTGCTGGAGTTCTACGACACCACTGCCCACTTTGCCAAGGGCTTGGAGATGGCGCTGCTCCCCCACCTATGTAAACATTCCTTCCTCCCAGTTCTCCAGCTTGTCTTTACTCGCTCTTTCTGAAGCTTCTGGGGCCTGGGTTTGTTTGCCTTTTCAGATGACTGATTTTACAGAAATGGAAGGGATCCATGTTTTCCTTCTCAGCAGATGTGGAGGGCTTTTCCATGAAAATGTTGCCATCATGGAAATACTTGTTTATTATACTTGCCTGGCTCCAGTGCTGCCTGGCTGCTTTGCACGCTCTGGGGAAGTGATGGACACCTCTCTGGGGGCTTGGGATGTAAAACAGGCATCACAGTGAGGCAGGTAGATTTATGACAAAGAGTTGGTGGCAGATTACACCAGGAGGCAAGTGTGCTGCTCATCCTTTGAAGTCATAATGAAGCGTCAGACAGTTCAACCTCAAAAGTCAGTTTTAGAGAACAAATACGCTACAGGGGCTTCCTCCCTCCCTCCCTCCCTCCCTCCCTTCCTTCCTTCCTTCCTTCCTTCTTCCCTCCCTTGTTGCTGCTTCCCGGATCCAAGCGATTCTCCTGCCTCAGCCTCCTGAGTAGTAGCTGGGATTACAGGTGTGCACCACCACACCCGGCTAATTTTGTATTTTTAGTAGAGACGGGGTTTCTCCATGTTGGTCAGGCTGGTCTCCAACTCCCAACCTCAAGTGATCCGCCTGCCTCAGCCTCCCAAAGTGCTGGGATTACAGGTGTGAGCCACCTCGCCTGTCCGCTACAGGGGCTTTTTGAAGAAGCAACAGCAAGTTGTGCTTGGGAGTTGTGCTAAGAGTGAAGGTGCTTGTAGAGAAAATGAGCTTTCCCCGGTGGCTGACTGAGAGCAGAGTACCCCTTGCTCCCATTTGGGTAAACAAAACCTGGTGTGTGACATTCTCCAGGCTCTTTCCCGTTTATGCTAAAAGCTTCATAAATTTTTAAAGAACACAGACCCCGTGACTCATGCTGCTGTCAAATCAGGAAATCCTTTCAGGAAGGCCTTGTTCTGCTGTTTGGCTGCTGTGTATCACTGACTTTATTTAATAGTTATTCTCTTTAATTACATTTGTGCATAATTGCCTCATACGTTCCAGGGAGTGTGTTTATTGTTCGGATTCCTGATGACTCATCGGTGTTTTTGGCACACTCACAGGTCAGGCCTTAGTTATGGGAAAGGCCCGCTGGATGTGGGCAGCCTCCAGGGGACCATGTTGCCTTTGTGGAAGTGGCTGAGGAGAGTTGGGAGAGTTGAGCTAAGGAGAGTTGTCTGCAGCACAGTGGGATGAAGGTGGAGCAAGGAACGGCTGCATACTTCCCCTGAGATGGACGTAGTAAGGAAGAGAACCACTCTTGAGACAGATCTGGCAGTACTTTGCTAGTCAGCCACGGGACGAGTCTCACTCTGTCACCCAGGCTGGATTGCAGTGCTTCGATCTTGGCTCACTGTAACTTCTGTCTCCTGGGTTCAAGCAATTCTTCTGCCTCAGCCACCCGATTAGTTGGGACTACAGGTGCATGCCACCAAACCTGGCTAATTTTTATACTTTTTAGTAGAGATGGGGTTTTGACATGTTGGCCAGGCTGGTCTTGAACCCGTGACCTCAAATGATTGACTTGCCTGGGCCTCCCAGACTGCTGAGATTATAGCAAGTGTGAACCACTGTACCTGGCTAGGACTTTAATTTTTTTTTTTTTAGACAGAGACTTGCTCTGTCACCCAGGCTGGAGTGCAATGGCATGATCTCGGCTCACTGCATCCTCCACCTCGCAGGTTCAAGCAATTCTCCTGCCTCAGCCTCCCAAGTAGCTGGGATTACAGGTGCCCACTACACGCCTGGCTAATTTTTTTTTTTTGCATTTTTAGTAGCGTTTCTAAACTGTAGAAACTCTAGAGGGGGTTTCACCATGTTGGCCAGGTTGATCTCAAACTCCTGACCTCAAGTGATCCACCTACCTCAGCCTTCCAAAGTGCTGAGATTACAGGCATGAGCCACTGCACCTGACCTAGATTTCTGATGATTCTCCTTGATATTTTAACTTTAACATTCTTTGGAAACACACAAAAATAAAAATTAAAAAGAGAGAAAGAACAATCCATAAACTTATCCGTCAGAGCCACCAACAACAGTTTGCTTCTAGTAATACAAATATACACTGTTCACAAAATGTTAATATAAATATTTAATATCTACCATATAAATGTTATATAAATACAGAATGTAATATATAATATATACTTTTATATATTTACATGTAATTATATAATGTATATAAATATCTTTAAATATTGGTTGTAGACAGTCATATTTTCTTTCTTTCTTTTTTTTTGGAGACAGAGTCATGCTCTGTCGCTAGGCTGGAGTGCAATGGCATGATCTTGGGTCATTGTGACCTCCACCTTCCAGGTTCAAGTGATTCTCCTGCCTCAGCCTCCTGAGCAGCTGGGACTACAGGCATGCACCACCACGCCTGGCTAATTTTTGTATTTTTAGTATAGATGGGGTTTCACCATGTTGGCCAGGATGGTCTTGATCTCTTGACCTCATGATTCACCTGCCTTGGCATCCCAAAGTGCTGGGATTACAGGTGTGAGTCACCGGGCCCAGCCATATTTTCATTTTTTGAAAGGTTCAAAATAATATAAAGAGCATTTCTTATATAATTAAATGTTTTCCTAAGACATAGTTTTGTTGTTTTTTGTTTTTTCAAGATAGGGTATTGCTCTGTTGCCCAGATTAGATTGCACTGGTGTTGTCACAGTTCACTGTAGCCTTGTACCTTCTGGGCTCAAGTGATTCTCTGAATTCAGCCTCTTGAGTGGTTGGAACCACAGGCACATGCCACCAAGGCTAATTTTAAAATTTTTTGTAGAGACAGGGTCTCCCTATTTTGCTCAGGCTGGTCTCAAACTCCTAGGCTCAAGTGATTCTCCTGTCTTGGCCTCCCAAAGTGCTGGGATTACAGGTATAAGCTACTACACCCAGTCAATTTACTACCATTTTTTAATCACTATGATATATAAAACTATTATGAACTGTTTTATCCATTAGCTTTTGAGCCTACCTCTGATTATTCCTTAGGATAAGTTTAAGTTTGCAGTTGCTCAGAAATGAAAAATGTGAAGATATTTGTCACATTTTGTTCTTTAGAAAGTGTTCACCTGTTGTCTTGACTATCAGTGGTGAGCGAATGTGCCTGTGTCCCCGAGCCCTCACCAACTCTAGACTTTTCGCTCCTTTCCTTGCCAGGTTCTTAGACAATTACTGATACATCATTTTCGTTTTTCACTTTAGTTATTAGGGAGTTTGAAAGTCACATTATATAAAGTATCTTTTCTCTTCTGAATTGCTTATTTTATAGCCTGTTACTCTGGGAGTTTAACCTTTTTCTGGTTAATTTTTAAGAGCAATTTATTTAAAATAATATATTATTAGATATATTATAAAAAGCAACAAAAGAGCTATATCATTAGATCATTAGAGACCTAATGATATCGATCTCTGACAGAAAATAGCTCTCCTTTAATCCCACTTTACCCACTGTTAGGAATTTGGTGCATGTTTCTGAAAGATTCTTAAATAGTGAGAAATTTTTCCCATTGCTTATCAAATATGTTATAAATATATTGTCTAACTTTTAATTTTACCTTTAACATTTTTTCTGTTATTTTAATAGTTAATACATGTACCTAATACAATTCAAAATAGAAAAGATTATGCAGTATAAAGTAAATTTTAAAAATTTAGGTTATCATTATAGAAAAAGTTGGAAAATACAAGGAAGGAAAAAAAATAAATAATTCTCAACCTGCCATTCAGAAATAGCATTTTGGACCAGGCGTGGGGGCTCACAGCTGTAACCCCAGCCCTTTGGGAGGACAAGGTGGGAGAATCACTTGAGTCCAGGAGTAATAGTGGCACACACCTGTAGTACTTGCTACTCAGGAGGCTGGGTGGGAGGATCACTTGAGCTTGGGAGGCAAAGGCAGCGGTGACCTGTGGATGCACCACTGCACCTTAGTCTGGGGGACAGAGTGAGACCCTGTTTCAAAAAAAAAAAAGAAGAAGAAAAGAAAAAAGAACTAACACTCTGGATTCTATACATGTGCAGATTTGATTATTTCCACATTAGACACACATTACTTTACCTAATCTCTACAAAACCTTGTAAATTGGTGCCAGAAATCGAGACCATCAGACTTTTGCTGAGTGAGTATTGAAGGAGATGCAGCAGTTTAACTAGATGAAGAAGGGAAGGGAAGAAGATAGTCCTTCCAGACAGAAGGATCAGCATGTGACCAGAGGAGGGTTTTAGGAATGGAGAGAGGCTGAAAGCTGGAGAAAGAGGGAAGGAAGATGAGGTTGTAGAAGTAGTAATACAATTGGCTGGAGGAGGGGACCAGAAGGATGTGAGGACACCAGTAGGTAGGCTATTACATTTACCAATCCCCTGTTGAGACTATGTCCAAAGCTTTCTGATTCTGGGCCATGTTTCCATCAACATCCTTCTCTCTCTGTGTATTTGTTTATTTCTTTAAGATGATTTTCAGGAATTGAATTGCTGTGTTGTACAATATGCACATTTACATTTTGATACAGCATGTTTTAGATTTTTATATGGTTGAACATAGGAATTTTTGGAATGCCTGGGCTATGAGGTATACTTTTGTTTTTTTGTTTTCGTTTTGAGACAGAGTCTGGCTCTGTCGGGCAGGCTGGAGTGTAGTGGTGTGATCTCAGATCACTATAATCTCTGACTCCCGGGTTCAAATGATTCTCCTGCCTCAGCCTCCCAAGTAGCTGGGAACACAGGTGTGTGTGTCTCACTCTGTCGCCCAGGCTGGAGTGCAATGGCAGCTAAATTGGTTTTGTATTTTTAGCAGAGATGGGGTTTCATCATATTTGCCAGGCTGGTCTCAAACTCCTGACCTCAAGTAATCCACTCACCTTGGCCTCCCAAAGTGCTGGGATTACATGCGTAAGCCACCATGCCCTGCCTGTGAAGTATTCTGTTTTTGTGAAGTCCTAGGAACACATGGGCATGGGAAATGTTCTTCCTGTATCGCCTTTTCTCTGCGGCAATTCTTTTTTTTTTTTTGAGACAGAGTCTTAGAATCTTACTCTGTTGCCCAGGCTGGAGTGCAGTGATACGATTTCGGCTCACTGCAACCTCCGCCTCCCAGGTTCAAGCGATTCTCCTGCCTCAGCCTCCTAAGTAACTGGAATTACAGGTACCTACCACTACACCTGGCTAATTTTTGTATTTTTAGTTGAGACGTGGTTTCACCATAATGGCCAGGCTGATCACTCTTGGCCTCAAGTGATCTGCCTGCCTCAGCCTCCCAAAGTGCTGGGATTACAAGTGTGAGATATCGTGCCCAGCCTCTGTGGCAATTCTTGAACCTGAGCTTAATGAGGGTTATCTTTTGAAGGGATTCTTATCCATGATGGGTCATGGGACTCAGGGGGTTGGTGTCTTTAATAGTGCTTTAGGCAAATCTGTGCAAAGCCCAAATTTATCCAGGTATTTGCTGGACTGATTGTAGAAGAAGCTTCCATGAATTGTAAAAGCTGCTTAACAAAATGTAGTCCCCTTTGGAGATCAAATGGGTAAAGTTCTAGTAGAGTGCCTCTTGATTGTTGCTTTCCCACAGTTAATTTCAGATTCTTTGTTCATTATCATTTTACATTTCTGATTCCCTAAAGATGAACACAATCTGGTAAAAGTCACGGAGCTGGTGGATGTTGTATATGATCCGTACAAACCCTACCAGCTGAAGTATGGTGACATGGAAGAGAGCAACCTCCTCATCCAGATCAGCGCCATGCCTTTGGTAAAGTCACAGTGCGTCCTGGGGCCACTGAGGAAGCATTCTGTTAGCCAGGTTCTTGGCCACGTCTGAGGGAGGGCTGGGGTTTGGGATCTGGTATGCAAAAATATGGGCTTTAAGGGCTTGTGGGCTCTTGTAATCCAAATGTAAAACGAGACCATGTGTTTGCTACCAATTTTCTATAATTGATGGTTTGGACAGGGTCTCCATCTGTCGCCCAGGCTGGAGTGTAGTGGCATGATTACAGCTCACTGCAGCCTCAACCTCCCAGGCTCAAGTGATCATCTTGCCTCTTCCTCCTGAGTAGCTGGGAGTACAGGCATGTGCCACCACGCCTGGCTCATTTTTGTAATTTTTTGTAGAGACAGGGTTTTGGCGTATTGCCCAGGTTGGTCTCAAACTCCTGGGCTCAAGCAATCCACCCACCTTGGCCTTCTAAAGTACTGGAATTAGAGGCATGTGACACCCCACTGGGCCCCAGTTTTCTGTTTAAAATTCCCAACAAAATGAGAGGCTTAAATCTTTTGGGGATAAGTTGATTATCTCCCTGGTTTAAGGAAAAGGTAGTCTTTTGTTTAAGGAAAATATGCAAATGGACACAGGAGCTTAAACTCATCGATTATGCTGCAGGGACAGGTTCACTGTGTGGGCACCAGGATTGGAACTGAGGCCATTTCCATTTCAAATATTTTGTTTTCAAGTTATAAGGTTGTCTAGCATGAGATACATTGAAATTTCAGAATTGATCTTACAGTAGTTCAGATCTACTGCCTCTTACCATTTTCTTGTTTTCTAGGGATATACCTAGAAAATCTGTTGCACTTCAGTGACATTCTTGCCCCAAAAGAAGCATTTTCCTTTTGCTGGTTTTTTTTTTAAAGTGTCTTGCTCTGTCACCCAGGCTGGAGTGCAGTGGCACAATCATAGCTCACTGCAACCTTGACCTCCCAGGCTCAAGCTATCCTCCCACCTCAGCTTCCCAAGTAGCTGGGACTACAGGTGCCCACTACCACACCAAGCTAATCTTTTGTATTTTTTGTAGAGATGGAGTTTCGCCATGTTGCCCAGGCTGGTCTCAAACTACTGGGCTCTAGCGATCCATCCATATCTGCCTCCCGAAGTACTGGGATTACAAGCTTGAGCCACCAAACCCAGCCCTCTTTTGCTACATTCTTTGGAGCGTCTGATATGGAGAAATTGAATCCTAGCTCAAGAGCCAGAGGGAGAGATGTCATCTTAATAATCACAGAAAAAGAGGAAAGCAATGAAAAACATTAGGATGAAGTAGACAGACATTTGATCATGTTTTTCTGCCAGGAGTTAATTTTCATGATCCCACTGATGACTTAGACTGTTCTCTCTTGATTCAGGCTCTAGAAGAGAGTTCACAGGTTGCAACTGTATTTCTGACATCATTATTAAGTGATTTTACTACAGACGAGAAGGGTTGGAGGTCTTCCTCTATCTTAGCATTATCTGGTCTCAAGCCTGATGCAGCTTTTGTTTGTCTGTATTTGCTGAGCAGGAGCATGGGGAAGTGATTGACTGTGTGCAGGAGCTGAGCCACTCCGTGAACAAGCTGTTTGGTCTGGCGTCTGCAGCCATTGACAGATGCATCAGATTCACCAATGGCCTGGGCACCTGTGGTCTGCTGTCAGCCCTGAAATCTCTCTTTACCAAGTAAGGCTCGGGGACTGGATGAGCCACACTGGAGCAGTGTCTGTCTCAGTTGAAAATGCACGCGTTTTGTATTCCTGCTGTGAACCCTGGGAAACACTTGCACCTGAGCCCAAGAGATGTTAAGGATTCATGGTAGCATTGTTTGTGACGGGAGAACATTTGAAACAACTGAAACATCCACCCATTAGGGAAGGCTGCATAAGATGTGATATATCCATATGAGGGAAACTTGTGCAGCAATTAAAGTATGTTAAGAGAAAAAAAGAGTCTGGGTGCGTGGCTCACACCTGTAATCCCAGCACTTTGGGAGGCTGAGGCGGGCGGATCACGAGGTCAGGAGTTCAAGACCAAACTGGCCAACATGGTGAAACTCCGTCTCTACTAAAAAATGCAAAAATTAGCTGGGCATGGTGGCTTGTGCCTGTATTTCCAGCTACCTGGGAGGCTGAAGCAGGAGAATTGCTTGAACCTGGACCTGGGAGGTGGAGGTTGCAGTGAGCTGAGATTCCGCCACTGTACTCCAGCCTAGCGAGACTCCATCTCAAAAAGAAAAAAGAAAAAGAAAGAAAGCTTAGACAAGTGAAATTTAACAAAGTTTATATAAGCAAGAAAAAGGTTCTGTGACCTGGTACAGTGGAATCATGCCTGTAATCCCAGTACTTTGGCAGGCCAAGACAGGCAGATTGCTTGAGCTCAGGAGTCCGAGACCAGCCTGGCCAACATGGTGAAACCCCGTCTCTGATTGTTCCAGCAATACTGAGCACGTCTCTGTGAACTGGGGAGGCTCTTTTGACCCAGAGTTCCCTGGCATTGTCATCGGGCATTCAGCACCTCCCAGGGCAGTTCCATGTGGCCAGATGAGCCTGGATGTATTCCTATAGAAAAGAAACATCAGGCTGGGTGCAGTGGCTCACACTTGTAATCCCAGCACTTTGGGAGGCTGAGGAGGGTGGATCACTTGAGGTCAGGAGTTTGAAATCAGCCTGGTGAACATGGTGAAACTCGTCCCTAATAAAAATGCAAAAATTAGCTAGGCATGGTGGTGGGTGCCTCTAATCCCAGCTGTTCGGGAGGCTGAGACAGGAGAATCACTTGAAAAGGGGAGTGGACTATATTCACAGTGACTCTGACAAGGCTGACAATTGGAAATGTGTGGCATGAGAAACAGCTGGAGGGTTTGAGGACAAAAATGATGTGATGAAAGCCACGCTTTCCTCTGAGATTTCATGACAAACCCATTTAGAATTCTGGACTGATGGATAATGAAATAGAGAAAGCATTTGCCTATTGCCATACCTGAGAATGGTGAATAATCAAAACTCCTTCTCCTGCAGTGCGTGCCTGCTCTTTCTGCAGAGCACGTGGATATTTGTCATGGTTGCAGGGTGGTGGCATGGTTGCTTAACCTCCCATGGCTAAAGCACAATCATGTTCCTTAACATTCCCCTGTCAGTTTATCCTTGAGGCCAGCCCCTCTGACCTCTGGGACTCAGAACGCTAGAAAGGTGTCACCTCTCTTGATGCAAGGGGAAGATGTTATTAGTGGGACTCTGGGTTTTGCAGCTTTCTGCCTAAAAGCATTGAGGTCCCTGTAAAGGGGGCAGCAGGATCATTTGCAGTCAGTGGAGTCTGAAGCAGTTTCTTCCTCTTCATTAGCTGAGTGGTCTGTGTCTCCACTGCACATATTGACCTTTCGGGTCAGTGCCCTGGGTCCTCACATTTCACTTCCCTCAGTTAGAGCTATGGTTTGGGAGGGGCCAGCAGCAAGGCCTTTTGTGATACACGCAAATGTCACAGGTTTCTTAGCTTCCAGAGGACATGAGTCTCTCCTTTATGTCCAGCTCTGTGCTAGTTCCTGGAGATATAAGTATGAGGTACAGACCCCCTTCTCCCAGAGCTTAAAGTCCAGCGGCAGCAATAGGCATCAAACAGGCTATAAGCAATAAGCATTGCTAATTGCTTGCTCTGTCACCCAGGCTGGAGTGTAGTGGCGTGCCTGTGACCCACTGCAGCCTTGACCTCCTAAGCTCAAGCCATCCTTCCATCTCAGCCTCCCGAGTAGCTGGGATTGCAGGCACATGCCACCATGCCTAGCTAATTTTTGTATTTTTTGTAGAGATGAAGTTTCACCATGTCACCCGGTATGGTCTTGAACTCCTGGGCACAAGTGGTCCTCCCACCTCCTAAAGTGCTGTGATTACAGGCATGAGCTACTGCACCGGCCTTTTTTTTTTTTTTTTTTTAAGAGATGGGATCTCACTGTGTTGCCCACACAGGTCTTGAACTCCTTGAACTCAAGTGATCCTCCCTCTTTAGCCTCCCAAAGTGCTGGGATAACGGGCATGAGCCACTGTGCTCTGTCTAAACAAGCTGTTTAATTACAGTGTTTTAGATGCTAGAAGGGAGGAGTATGTGCGAAAAGTGAGAACAAACAGCAGACTCTGTGAGGGAGGATTTTCTGGCTTTGAATCTACATTCATGCTCCTGTCCCATTAAAGCCAGACCTTTGCCAGCCATGGAACTTTAATCTGTGTGCCATGGGTATTTAAATTTAGAGGATGAGATACAGAGGTGCCCGGGATGTCATGACCTGCCTTACGTTATCCCAGGTCACAGCTGTTACTACCGTGGGACTGTGATGTTTAAACAGTTCTTCAAACCTTTCACAGAAATGTACTTCTCTGGATGAGCAGGGCATTTATCAGCATCATCTCTCACCTGGTTGATCCTGGAATCAACTTCGTGACGATCCCTTCCTTCTCTTGGGCATCTCTCTTAGAAACTGCTCGACCAGGTGGTCAAGACCTTTGTGTGGTCAGAGTTTTACAAGCAGTTTCACTCCTCGGTGGGAGCCTTTAAAGATGCTCTCAAGGCCATTAGTAGTTTGTCCAGAGCTGTAGAATCCAGGTCTCTTTAGAGTTGGGGAATCGATGGTGACCTCCTTACCATTTTCTTCCCTTTCCCGGTAGGTATGTGTCTGATTTCACCAGCACTCTCCAGTCCATACGAAAGAAGTGCAAACTGGACGACATTCCTCCCAACTCCCTCTTCCAGGAAGATTGGACGGCTTTTCAGAACTCCATTAGGTAAACCGGGGGTTGTGATTCACGCTGTTCCTAATGTAGTCAGCATAAACACGCAGGATATAGTATATAAAAATGGCAAATGTATTTGGAAGCATTTCATTTTTTTCTTTCACTGCTTTTTTAAAAAGCAAATAGTCTAGACTCTAAACACAAACCAATAAATAAAAACCCAACCCAAACCGACCAACAACAAGACTCCTCCAGCTCTTAAAATATTTTTTGAAGTTCTTTACAAATGCGTCACCTCCTTTAATGACTTAATTTTTTTATATTTGGTGTGAGATATTTTTACCCGCCCCCATCCCCCGCCAACCTATAGTTTTTATAGACCTAAAATAACTTAGGGCTTATGTATTAGAAAATGCACAGGTGATTGGATTCTGCTTCTGGATCTAAGAACCATGATACATGGTTCTAAATGGTTCCAGGCAATGCTGTTTGGCCTGGAAAGGGCCATTTAAGAGTTCAGTGAAAGGGCTGGGCATGGTGGATTGGGCCTTTAATCCTAGCACTTTGGCCGAGGCGGGTGGATCATTTAAGGTCAGTAGTTCGAGACCAACTTGGCCAGCATGGTGAAACCCTGTCTCTACTAAAAATATAAAAATTAGCTGGGCATGGTGGTGTACGCCTGTAATCCCAGATACTTGGGAGACGGAGAGAGGGGAATTGCTTAAACCTGGGAGGTAGAGATTGCAATGAGCCAAGATTGTGCCACTGCACTCCAGCCTGGGCAACAGGGCAAAACCCTGTCTCAAAAAAAAAAAAGAAAAAAAGAAGGGTTCAGTGAAAGGAATTGAGGTGACCCTCTCAAGTGGTTATGATGACCAGATTCTAGAATAGCCTGTGTGGCTTGTAGGTCACTAGGTAGACACCCTATTGTCTCAGGTCCTTGATGGGGGTCTGATCAGCAGTCGCATGAGAAGATTTGGTCCTTGACATGTCCAACCAGAGAGCATGAACTGCTGGCCTATGGCCAGATCTCACCCATGGACATGTTTGATCATTGCAGTTTTTAACAAGAGGATTTGTTGCCAGTATCTAAAAACTAGATTTAACATGATCTGGATTTCTAATGTCACCTAAAAATGAGATGCTCAGGCAGCACTGGGCCTGCACTGTCATAGCCCCTGGGGCTGGCAGCAAGGGTCCCTGAGACACTGGGCACGGGTTCCCTGGTGTGTGGTGCTTCTCTCCTTCCCAAGTGGGCTAACAGCAATACGATTAGGCTCTCAGACCCCTTGGGAGAGGAGAGAAGCACCGCACAGCAAACATCAAAAGCAGGTTCACGCCTGCAATCCAGCACTTTGGGAGGCTGAGGCAGGTAGATCAGGAGGTCAGGAGTTCAAGACCAGACTGGCCAACATGGCAAAACCCCATATCTACTAAAAATACAAAAATTAATCGAGCATGGTGGCACCCGCCTGTAATCCCAGCTATTTGGGAGGCTGAAGCAGAAGAATGGCTTGAACCTGGGAGGCAGAGGTTGCAGTGAGCCAAGATCACACCATTACACTCCAGCCTGGGTGACAGAACAAGACTCCATCTCAAAAAAAAAAAAAAAAAAAAAAGAATAAAAAGCAATCTGGAAGCTTTTTTTCCTTAAAACCATTCCTCCTGGATATATTTTCCCAAGAGAGAACCAGCCATTCACCTGGAGTGCTTCACCTACTTTCATGGCTTGCCTGACCTCTGACCCAGACCCACTGAAGGCTGTTAGGTAGGTCACTGCAACCTCCGCCTCCTGGGTTCAGGCAATTCTCCTGCCTCAGCCTCCCCAGTAGCTGGGATTACAGGCATGCGCCACCATGCCGAGCTAATTTTTTGTATTTTTAGTAGAGACGGGGTTTCACCCTGTTGACCAGGATGGTCTCGATCTCCTGATCTCGTGATCCACCCGCCTCGGCCTCCCAAAGTGCTGGGATTACAGGCGTGAGCCACTGCGCTCGGCCCATGGACTTCTGTTGATTGATTGATTGATTGAGACAGAGTCCCAGGCTGTAGTGCAGTGGCATGATCTCGGCTCACTGCAACCTCCGACTCCTGGGTTCAAGAAATTCTCCTGCCTCAGCCTCCTGAGTGGCTGGAACTACAGGCGTGCACCACCACAGCCAGCTAATTTTTTTGTATTTTTAGTAGAGATGGGGTTTCACCATGTTGACCAGGATGGTCTTGATCTCCTGACCTTGTGATCTGCCCACCTCGGCCTCCCAAAGTGATGAGATTACAAGCGTGAGCCACTGCACCCAACCAGACTTTTATCTTTTTGATGAAATTTAATGTTCTGTGGGTTGATAGGTGCAGCAAACCATGACACATGTTTACCTACGTGACAAACCTGCACGTCCTACACATGTATCCCAGAACTTAAAGTTTAAAAAATTTAATGTTCTAGATACTGACTATATCCCTTATCATCCGTGGTGGCTTGGTATTCTCAAAAATATTATGCACAACTTTCTTCTGTTGCACCCAAGGGAAGTGGAATATTTTCCTTTCCCATAAACTTGTCTTATGATGGAATGCCTAGATACCTTGGTGATCACGGGCACTTTTAGAGAAAGTTAAAAGTTAACTAGACTTAAGATGTCTTTAATACTTGGATTTGTCCTGACATTATGAGTTTGGTGTTGAAGGACTCAGCAGCTGGGAGTTTGAGGCCTGGCATAAAATTACTTGAAAATTAAAGGATCATTCAGTACAGATATGATGGTCATTTGGGCTTATCTCTGAGAAATAAATGGGTTAATCTTCATCTGCCTTTCATATGATCAGGGAGAGATACTTCTAACACCCAAACAGTTTTCTCTGTCTTGCAACTAGTAGGCATCTAAGAAATATTAAGTAATAAATTTTTATTTAAAAATTTTAGATACAGGAGGCTGGGTGTGGTGGCTCACGCCTGTAACCCCAGCACTTTGGGAGGCTGAGGTGGGTAGATCATGAGGTCAGGAGATTGAGACCATCCTGGATAATGTGGTGAAACCCTGTCTTTACTAAAAATATAAAAAATTAGCCAGGTGTCGTGGCACATGCCTGTAATCTCAGCTACTTGGGAGGCTGAGGCAGGAGAATCGCTTGAACCCAGGAGGCAGAGGTTGCAGTGAGCTGAGATAGTGTCACTGCACTCCAGCCTGGGCAACAGAGTGAGACTGTCTCAAAAAAAAAAATTAGATATAGGCAGGGTGCTGTGGCTCACTCCTGTAGTCCCAGCACTTTGGGAGGCCAAGGCAGGTGGATGACTTGAGGTCAGGACTTTGAGACCAGCTTGGACAACATGGTGAAACCCCGTCTCTACTAAAAATACAAAAATTAGCCAGGCTTGATGGCGGGTGCCTGTAATCCCAGCTATTTGGGAGGCTGAGTCAGGAGAATCGCTTGAACCTGGGAGGCAGAGGTTTCAGTGAGCTGAAATCACGCCATTGCACTCCAGCCTGGGTTACATAGCGAGACTCTGTCTCAAAAAAAAAAAATTTAGATATAAAGTATCTCTACCCTGTTTTTCTCAAGGATAAAGCTGAGTATTTTGGAAATGTAAAATTATTTGAGGGGGCCATGGATAGAATTGTGCTTTCAGCGCAGAGATGCCAGTGACAATGGAGGTTATTGGAAGGGACCAGCATTTCTTTTTACATTAATGACGAATGAATGAAACATTTCAGGCTAGCAAATGGTTAATGGCTTTCCCTGAACCAGAACTACCAAAAGGAGCAAATAGTTAGGATTTTTATGAATGAGACAATGTTTGTCCTGTAAAGGTCGGCATTCCGGATGCTTGAACTTGAAGTACTTTTTGTTTTGTTTAGGATAATAGCCACCTGTGGAGAGCTCTTGCGGCATTGTGGGGACTTCGAGCAGCAGCTAGCCAACAGGTAGGAGAGAGGAGTCATTGTCGTCTAGACACTGGGGCTCCTGATCAGCAGGAACTTGGTCTGGTACACAGTACAGCAAGGACAGCATGTGGGCAGATCTGAAGGCCACAGGGCTGGAGGACTGTCTGTACCTAGATACAGTGTGTCATTATTGTCATCATTAAACGTTTATTGAGCACCTAAAAAGGGCAAGGCTTTGTCCTACTTGGCAAGGGTCACATAAGTTTGGTTTGATATGGTGGTTTCAGCCTAAATGAGGAAACAGTACATCTTGTCTCCAAATTAGGAATGGGCTGGGTTCCGACTGTTTGTTTGTAAGTCAGTTGTTGGGACTCAGAATAAATTTCTGCATAGAAACGGTGTGACAAGTGGTGGTGAAGTCCCTTGGGCCAGCCTTCAGGATCGGGGTGAACTTTGGCAGCCTGCCTTCTGCGTCCTGTGGTCATTCCATGCTGCTGAAGGGCTGTGTCTAAGTGAAATCTCTGGGGTCTACCCTGGAGTAGCTTGTTCTGCCCCCTTCCTACCTTCCCATCCCTGCCAGGGGTTTTATGTCACCCTGAGGTGGCCTCCTTTAGACAGATTTTCCCTTCAAGGGGCTCTGGCTTCTCACATTCCTTTCTTTCTTCATTCCTTTCAATGAAATCTCTTGATTCCCTTGGTATGGCTAATGCCTCTATTCCTTAGGAGCTAAGGGGAAGAAATCTGTTTCATACGGTTGTTTGAGGGACCAGTAGCAATCCCTTAACATCCTTTTTGGGTGATTCTTTATTGCCCTAAAGTAATCTCTGGGTGGTGGAATTTTTAGCAGTGATACAAAGTGAAATGAAAGCACCAGTGTTCCAAAAGTTAGTAATGGGTGCTGGGAGAATACAGAGGAGACACAGCAGTCCCCCTATATCTCACCCAACCTGTCCAGGGCAAGAGAAAGCTCTCAGATGAGATTTCAACTCAGCCTTGCTTTACTCAGCCCATACATCACAAAACGATTCCTTTCTGAAAAGAATTGATCCTAAGGACCTGGTGGCCAATGTCAATCTTAGCCCAGCGTATTCTGACCTGTTGGCCTCTGCCATCTTTCTGTTGGTGGGGAGTGGTCCTTGGTAGGAAGCTAGGTGCTGCAGGTAAGATTGATGGGAAGATAAGATAAGCTTTATAGGTGCCTGCCACACACACGCACACACACACTGTGCAGCCTCCCGGCCAGGAACACAGATGGTGACTACCCCTTTCCAGGCTTAGTGCTTCCAGGATGACATCATCTCTTTCTGGAACTTCCTTGGATACACCCAAGCTGTTCTTGACTTGAAGCTCAGCCAGGCTTTCAGCCTCTCTGGGCTGCAAAATGCAGCCCAGAGAGGCCCATCCTTTATCTGTTGTGTCCCCATTCATGCTCCTAACCAGTCTTTCCTTACCCTTCAGAATGTAATACTTAACTTCATTAAGAGATTAAGGAAAATCCGTGTCCTAGGAATTATCATTTACTTCATGTATATTATTCACACATGCTGCATTGTATGCCTGTGGTACTTTGGTTTTATTCACACAATTTCCGTGCTGGGCATTCAGGAGTGAGTTAGGAACAGCATCATCTGCTCCCCCTCTATCTTGCTGTGAGCCTTTCCCCATAATGAGAAACATCACAAAAAAATCTTGGTCTCAAAGACAGCTGGTGGTCTCAGATATGACGGAAAACACAGAATTGTGAGAAGAAACAGCCAACAAAATGCACAGACATTTCTTGACAACTCCCCTCTACCTCCTGCCCCACCTCCCGCCCCGCTCGCCCGTACCTCCCACCCCACTTGCCTCTAACTCCTGCCCCACTCGCCCCCTGCCTCCCGCCCCACTCACTCCTTGCCTCCTGTCCCACTCGCCTCTATCTCTCACCCCACTCATCTCTGTCTCCCACTTTACTCACCCCTACCTCCCTTCCCACTGGGCCACAGCTTTCCTCGGCTCTAAGCTAGGTCTTGGGGATATCAGATAATTAAACACAATTCTTGCTCCCAAGGAGGTCAGAGATTAATGGGAGCATCCAGCATGTGCCATTATGCTCATTGCTGTGCCAAGAGAATGCAGTAGATGTGCACAGAGGAGAGAGCATTACAATTCCATTGATTCCCTCAACTAGGACAAGTTATTGCCCACTTCTCAGCCATGGAAACTTGTGAATCTATACTAGATTCCCCAAACCTGACTGTCTCATTGAACTGTCCCCCAAAGATCTGGTCACCAAAGCCAGGGTCACCTCTCCTTCAACAGTTGTGGAGTCCCTACCACGTGCCAGGCACCCTGCTAGGTGCTAGTTATTCACAGATGAAGAACATGCCATGTTTTGTCCTCACCATGCAGTCAGAGGGAAATGAGACAGCATATGTTACATGCAGAACAGTAGTGAGAGCCCATTGGGAGCTCTGCCATTGGCTGATGGGGCTGAGGGCTGAGTGCCTCCTGGGGTCTCCAAGGCGTCTCCTCTGCCAAGCCTTTCTAATGACCCCGTGAGGCACAATCTTTGGGAAAAATCTCAGATTTGCCTTCTGGAAAGAGCATTCGGCTAACACTTAGGAGGACAGATTAAGTGGAACTTTGAGGACTAGAGAGAGGGAGGCCGGTTAGTTGGAAGCCTGCTGCAATCCAGGCAAGAACTAGTGAAGATTGGAAGTAAGGCAATGGCAGAGACAGGCCACAGTTTCACAGACAAGAGATCCAACCGAAGTTACCAGTAGGCGCAAGCAGCAGGAAGAATGAACTTGACCCTAATGGCAGAGGCAGGTAGCTGCTTATGTCAGCAGTGGCTCCTGAGGAAGATCCTTTTGTTGGGGTTTATTTGCAAGTACAGGCATTTCTTGACCAACTCAAGGATCTGTTTTTGAAATAGTGAGTACATCCTAAAAACTGCTATGTCCAAAGCAATGTTTTTATAAGACTTCACAGTAAAGGAGGAGTCAGGGAATTAGCCACATTGGGGATAGGTCATAATGCGGTTCTCCTAGTTACACATGTTCATATAATTCTGTACATATTTAAATGGGTAGGATGAGTGGTAAAGTTGGTCTAAGGAAAAACAGGGTGGAGGTCGAGATTCCACTTTCCCAGCAGTACAAGGGGTGGATTATCATATGGAACCTCCTCTGGGCGTTTGTCTCTCTTGAAGAGTTTGGAAAGTGCCAGCTTCAATAGATCTCTCTGTAGCACCTAAACCACAAAAATAAATCTCCCAGTGCCACTGAACACAAACACCATGCAGGTTCAGTGTGTGGGACAGGTGGGTCCCATGGGTAAAGAGGTGAGCAGCGAGCTGCTGTCACCGTTCTCCAGGAGCCAGCCAGCTGCTGTCCTGCCCAGCGGCTCTCTGATGGCAGTGCTGGTGGCCCACCCTGGCATTTGACTGTTCTACACCTTGATGGTCATATAGCAAGGAAAGTCTCCATAGAAGGTTCATAGTGTTGCAGACTAAACATAGAGCTGCCCCTGTGTAGGCTGTCGGTCATATTAGGGAGATGGCATATTCTGGCACTGTGAGTGTTAAGCAGGAATAAAAATACCAGGTTTTTTTCTTGAGCTCACTCCTCACTTATGAAGGACATCCTTTCATCGCCTTCTGAACTGGCCTTAATTCATTCTGTCTCATGTCGATATCTTAGAATTTAGTAAGGAGCAATCTGACCGCTCCAAGAAGAAGGTTTCATGCAGACAGCTCAGGGCATGATGGTCATTCCTTTCATTACAGGATTCTGTCCACAGCCGGGAAGTATCTATCTGATTCCTGCAGCCCCCGGAGCCTGGCTGGTTTTCAGGAGAGCATCCTGACAGACAAGAAGAGCTCTGCCAAGAACCCCTGGCAAGAATATAATTACCTCCAGAAAGATAACCCTGCTGAATATGCCAGTTTAATGGAGATACTTTATACCCTCAAGGTATGAGACCAAATGGATGGCATTCTTGCAAATGAAAGGCTTCCTCTCATCACTCACCCTCTCCCTCTCCTGGATACAAGCTGGCCCGGTATGTGAGCCCCGGGCTGGGGTGTACCCTGCCACTACTTCTCTGTCTCATTTATGTTGGGATTTTAAGGGGCTAATAGACTAAACTTGAAACCCATTGAGATACAGATGTAGAAGTTAGGAGAGATGGATCTTTATTACTGATGAAAGCCAGGTTAGAGACCATGGCTACAGGCTGGGTGCAGTGGCTCACACTTGTAATCCCAGCACTTTGGAAGGCTGAGGCGGGTGGATCACCTGAGTTCAGGAGTTCAAGACCAGCCTGGGCAACATGGTGAAATTCCATCTCTACTAAAAATATGAAAATTAGCTGGGTGTGGTGGCATGCGCCTAAAGTTCAGCTACTTGGGGGGCTGAGACAGGAGAATCGCTTGAACCTAGGAGGCAGAGGTTATAGTGAGCTGAAATTGCACCACTGCACTCCAGCCTGGGTGACAGAGCAAGACTCCATCTTAAAATAAAATAAATAAATACAAATAAAAGGGAATGTGGCTTTATATCTGCAGCTAGGGGGACTTGCTGTAATTCACTCCGGAATGAAACTTGTCAGCTGGTCAGACAGAGCCAGACAGCCCCTGACCCTGTGCAGGGTCAGCCTCCTGAGAGGGTACCAGATGTGTACTGCTTGCAGGCAGGCAGAACCTATAATAGAGGACTCCAACCCAGGACACCAGAGACGAGCAAGAGAAGTCACTCCTCTCCCAAGGGAGGAGCCAGGCTGCAGAGTCAGCAGGAGTCTATTCAAGTGCGAGTTCTTCCACATGAGAACATGAGGGCTTGGGGATAGGTGTTCTCTCCTGTTTTTTTTTCTTTAAACTCTTAGTTTGCCTGCCATAAAGCTGCTCTTGACTTTGAGCTTTGGGCCTTTTGGGGTCTCAGGACAGGAGGACTTCCTAATAAATGGAATGAGTCACACAACTCCCTGGGAATGGCCTCTAGGGTTATAAGAAGACCATGGGCATCCTTTGCAGAACCATCCCCCTCCCTCACTGGTATGGATTGAACTTCACTCTTGGTGATAGGTAGAGGAGACATTGCTGTTCCTGGAGCAACAGATGCAGTAGATTTTTTTTTTTTCCCCGAGGAGTCTCACTCTGTCGCCCAGGCTAGGGTGCAGTGGCGCAATCACGGCTCACTGCAACCTCCGCCTCCCAGCTTTAAGTGATTCTCCTGCCTCAGCTTCCTGAGTAGCTGGGATTATAGGTATGCACCTGGCTAATTTTTGTATTTTTAGTAGAGACAGGCTTTCACCATATTGCCAGGCTGGCCTCGGACTCCTGACCTCAGGTGATCTGCCCATCTCAGCCTCCCAAAGTGCTGGGATTACAGATGTGAACCACCGTGTCTGGCCAGATGCAGTAGAAAATTATCCAGGGCCTAGAACTCTGGGAATGAACTGCACAGGGTGCCTGGACATGTCTGAGTTTCGGCACTATTCTCCCAGGGCCTCTCCATCTCTTTGCACCTTGACCCACCAACTGGCTGCATTGAGCTTGATAAACACTTCTTAAAGCAATTCTGTAAACTCATTCATCCATGCTTCTGTGATTTGGTTAAAGCAACTCTGTTTATCTTTATTGCTAATCTGATTTATGTCTGTTGTAATCGGTTCATTTATAATAGCAAAACTAAGGTTATGCTTTCCACCTTGGTATTTTCTCAGGCTGTTTGGAATTCCTTGGGACTTGTGGAGGTCACATATACTCTGGCTTTCAACCAAGTATATTTGACCTGACCTCCCTAGGAATTAGGGCTCTATCCATCACTCTGGTTTATATGTGAAGCTTCTGATCTGCTCCCCCAACCTTCCCTCCTCCTCTATCCCTGAGGAATAGTCACAGGTGAATTTTTCCTAAACTGCTAGTCTGTGAACTCATGTTAGCCCAAATACATCAGAATCACCTGGGAAAGTGAATTTAAAATATAGATTCCTGGGCTCCAACCCCAGTGAACTCTGATGCAGTAGTTCTGGGATTGAGCTCTGGAATCTGTAATTCAGTATGTTCCCCAGGGGGGCCTGGGGCACAGCCACTTTAGGGAACCACTATTGCATTGAACCCCCAGTTCTCCTCTCTGTGAGTTTTCAAAATGGTTAACTAGCTAATACGGTTAGGTTTCAGGCCTAACAACTGCCTTTTGCATTTTTTTGTTTTAGGAAAAAGGGTCAAGCAACCACAACCTGCTGGCTGCATCTCGAGCAGCCCTGACTCGGCTTAACCAGCAGGCCCACCAGCTGGCTTTTGATTCTGTGTTCCTGCGCATCAAACAACAGCTGTTGCTCATTTCCAAGATGGACGTGAGTTTCCCCCCGGGTCCTGCCTCCAACCAAGCATACTGAGTGTGGGCTTAACCCTCCCTGCTCCAAGAGCTTTGGGAAGATCCCACTTTAACTCTCCCAGGCTGGAAAGAGTCACTTTCCAATTTCACTTCATTGCTTAGCGTGAATTTCTTATCTTTATTGTAGTGACTCTGATACTTTATTTACAGGCGGTTCTCAGGATTATTAAAATTGCTTGATTAACTTTCCCCATTTGGAGCAGTGGAGAAGTAAGAGATTATGTGCCGCCTCGTAGGTTAGGCCAGGTCAGAAGAGCTAATTGTCTTTTGAGATGGAATGATTTTCAGTGTTTCTGGAGAATTGGTTCTGGAACTCTACACAGGGGAGTGCCTTATCAGAATTGATCTTGTGTTTTTGAGTGGGCTTTGGAGGGTTGTTCCTTTCTTTCCTTGATACCTTTTCTATTTGGCTGTTTCCAGAATCGCCTTGCCTTCCTTTCCTTGTGCCCTCTTCTCTTTTCTGGTTGTCGGAATTATTTTTCAAGGCATTGCCTATTAATGCTGTTTTCTCTACTTGCTGTCTTTCCCCTGGTCCAGATCTTGTCACTTTCCTTTTGGATTACTGGGCAGGGCAGCCCCCTGGTTAATGTATCTTACTGACTCTTCAGGGCCATTTGGACTCCAGTTATGGGCCTTTAATAACCAAGAGATCTTTTTACAAAATGACAATGACTCATCTGGAAAAATCAAACATGCTCTGCTTTCTGCCACTGCCTAGACAGCCTGCAAGGGCCCCTGCATGGTCTCAGTCAGCCCTCACCCCCTCTCTGGGAGTCAGGATTCCCATCCATGAAAGGGCTCAGTTAAAAACATGATCATGAGGTTCTTTCTACCCTTGAAGTTTGTGATTTTCACTCTTTATGATTTTTCTGTGCAAAATGCCATGAGGTCTGTATCTTTTCTTTTCTTTCCTTCTTTTTTTTTTTTTTTTAGATAGCTTCTCACTGTGTCACCAGGCTGGAGTGCAGTGGCGTGATCTTGGCTCACTGTAACCACCACCTCCCAGGTTCAAGCAATTCCCCTGCCTCAGCCTCCCGAGTGCCTGGGACTACAGGTTTATACCACCATGCCCAGCTAATTTTTTTGTATTTTATTAGAGATGGGGTTTCACCATGTTGACCAGGATGGTCTCGATCTCCTGACCTCATGATCCACCTGCCATATAGATTGGTGAGGATTAAGTGAGATTTTGTATATTGATAGAATGTAGCACAGCACTGGCCACAGAGTAGATGTGTAGTAAGTGGTAGTTTTCTTCCTTTCTGTGATTCTCATTTTTTAAGAAGAATGATTTAACTTGATTTTTTACAATAAAAATTGTATATGAATTTATTTTTAGAAATTCAAGCAATACAAGAAAAAAAAATCCGATAAATACCTTCTACGTGCCACCACTGAACAATTAAAAAATGACCTGCAGCGTTTTCCTCTTCAAGGGAGTATTCAAGTGACATTCTCTGCTGCTAATCAGTGTCAGCATTTTGATGTCCAGCAACCCAGACATCCCTTCCTGCATGCCCATACACATGTTAAAGGCTGAGCGGGCATCAGTAGATAAATCTGTAGGAAGAAATGGAATTATACTATAGTGCCGTTTTTAAAAAAAACAAGATATGCACAATATAAATTTTATTTGAATTTAATCAGAAAAAAGAGACACTAAATGAAACCAAAGGAATTATTGAACTTGAGACAATTTTCTTTTCTATTCTTCTTTTTTCTTGAGGCTGAGTCTCACTCTGTCACCCGGGCTGGAGTGCGGTGGCATGATCTCGGCTCACTACAGCCTCTGCCTCCTGGGTTCAAGCCATTCTCCTGCCTCAGCCTCCTGAATAGCTGGGACTACAGGTGCCTGCCACCACGCCTACCTAATTTTTGTATTTTTTTGGTAGAGACAGGGTTTCACCAGGTTGCTCAGGCTGGTCTTGAACTCCTGACCTCAAGTGATTTGTCCACCTTGGCCTCCCAAAGTGCTGGGATTACAGGCATGAGACACTACGCCTGGTCAAGATTTTTTTTTTACTCCACAAAAGATACTCATTCCCCAGAAGCTCTCTCCAAAATTATGAAAAAAAAGATTATAAAAACTATGAAGAGATTGGAGTTGCCATTGCTTTTTGTTAATCCTGTTTCCACTGCAGACAGATACTGATACATATGATCCACTGAAAGACTAGGGGACTAACATTCCTTGTCTCTCTCCTGCCCCCTCCTCCACCTCCAGATTGGGTTTTTTGTATTATTTTTATTTTGTCAAAGCTGATGGTACTGACCTTCTGTTCTGAAACCTCAGGGCTTCCCGGCTTAGTTCTACATTTAAACAGGGCTGGTGCTTCCCCATCCTTTTCCCTCTACTTCTGCATTCCAGAGTTCATTATGATGGTACAGTTCCTGGGTGCCTGGCCCTGCTTCACCGCAGCACCGTGGGCCCTTGGGAATGGGCACAGGTGGCTTTGGAGATTAAGAGGAGCACTCTGAGGGTGCCAGCACACGATACCAAGGCAAACACTCTGGCCTTAAGGATTTGAAAATTAAACCCTGGTCATCAAATGTTTGTTTTCAGCATTTGCTGGTAAATTCTATTGCCCTTTTATATTCCAAGACTACAAACCAACACTATATTTGATTTCAAAATAGATTATTGAAGTTTGCCTATTTTACCTGGTGACAGATGGATAGAAAAGCCCATTTGAAGGACGCTTTAAATAAATTTTGAACAATTAAAAAATGACCTGCAGCATTTCCCTATTGCCCTCTTCAAGGACATTCTCTGCTGCTTTTTTTTTTTCTTTTCTTTTTTTGAGACAGAGTCTCACTCTGTTGCCCAGGCTGGAGTGCAGTGGTGCAATCTTCGCTCACTGCAGCCTCTGCCTCCTGGGTTCAAACACTTCTCATGTCTCAGCCTCCCGAGTGGCTGGGACTACAGGCAAGGGTCACCACACCCGCCTAATTTTTGTATTTTTTGTAGAGACAGAGTTTCACCATGATAACCAGACTGGTCTCAAACTCCTGGCCTCAAGTGATCTGCCCGCCTCAGCCTCTCAAAGTGCTGGGGTTACAGCCATGAGCCACTGCGCCCGGCCCTCTGCTGCTTTTTAAGCCCCTCCCTAATTCAAGCCACTCTGTCTTGCCCTTCTTCCAAACTTCTTTCCCACTCCTACTGTTCTTCCCCTCTCTCCTCCACCTGTTCATGTTCTGAGGCTGCTCCTCTTGCCTCCTCTCTGAGGCCTTTCTCGGGGCCTCCAGGCTGTGGTCCCTGGGATGGATGGCGGTGATGCTGGTCTTCGCCCCACACATCGGTACCTGCTCTTGGTCTCCTGCAAGCTGTTGCTTCTCCCTGCACTCTGCTTCCCAGCCTGTCACCATCTTGGCCCCCTTACTGCACCCTTCTTTGCCAACAAACCACCAAAGATTACTGTCCTTTCCTTTCCTCTGTGTCCCGCACCTCTTTCCACCAGTGTTCTCATCATCTCTGTGCTGTTTTTGAGCTTCTCATCTGCCCCCCACCCCAATCCTCTGCAGGGCCACTGTATTTACCTTCACAAAGCATTGTTTTAGTTTTGTCTCTCCTCATTGAAAACCCTCCCCAGGGCTAGTCTGAATTGTCTGTTTTTAGAAACTTTTTATTATGGACCTTTTCACACATACACAAAAGTAGGAAGAAGAGTGTAAGGAACTCCATATACTCTTTGCCTTCTCCAACCATGATCCACTCCTAGCCATCCTGTTTTATACATTCCTCTCATCTGAACTAGAAGGACTCTAAAAATAATCACAGTACCACAGTCAACCCTAAAAAAGAAAAAGAAAAGGAATTCCTAATGTCATCAGTGTTCAAATTTCCGGTTGTTTTATAAGTGGCATAATTTAACCCTTTGAGTCAGGATGTAGGATCCAGGATCCTGCACATTGAGATTTACTGGGATGTCTTTTGTGTTTTGTTTTTTTTTTTAATGATAAGCTTCCCTTCTCTCTCTCTTTTTTCCCTTGCAATTTCTTTGTTGAAGGTAAAGCCTTTACTTAGCCTGGTGTTTAAAGCTGTGTCTTCTCCCTCCAGCCTCTTTCTGCCTCTGTACACCACAGGCATTGCCCCTTCTCTAATTGCCCTGAACTCTTACTGTACATCCTGGCCTCTGACACTGAGAGCTCTAGAAGTGGGAGGCAGCACTCATGTGCCTGCAGGGGGAAGAGGGGAGGGGCCAAAACAGGATGGGAGATGTGGGCTGTACAGGCTGGGAGTCTCGGGGGCCTTGCTTCCCTTTTGGAGAGCAAAGAGCAAATCTTAGATTTCTTGTCCCTTCTCTGCAAAGCCTAGCATAAGGCACTCGATGTCCTGGGGACTTGGTGAATGTGGATGGTTGGCAGGTTCCTTCTCAGTAGGTTGGGAGTTAGCTCTTTTGAGACGAAAGAGGATTCTCAAGCAAAAACAGAGTCTAGAAAACTGTAGGACGGGGGTTGGGGGGACCAGGGGTGCGGAAGAAAAGAGCTCATTTACATCAAAGAAAATGAGACCAAATGGAGCGGGTGCTAGAGAGCGTGGGGAGCCCTGCCGAGGCGGAGCCTGGGCTGGAAGCCCAGGGGTGGACATGGTCATTCCATTCCCGGAATGCTGCTTAAAGGATCAGGCAACTGGATCTGGCATCAGGTGGCTGCAGACAGCAGTTCCTACATGATCACTGGAGTCACTCCCAGAGTTCAGCAAAGAAGGGCCTTGTTTTCCAGGCTAGCTTTAGAGTGGCTCAGGTTGGAAGTAAGAAGCGAGATTTCTGTGTGAAGGTGTGCCACGCTGAAGCCTGTGAGCACATGTGCATGGGTGCTTCACCCACCTCCATACAGAATGCTGGGAAGGCTCACACAGCAACACAGAGGACATTTCCACTCCAAATGGCGAGGAACACGTGTTGGTGCCAAGGTTCTCCTCGAACAGGGGAACCACAGAGAGGCCAGAGGGGCAGCTGTTGGGATTTGGAGGTGCCATCCCATCCCATCCCTCTGAGTTCTGAATCAGTTGGGAAACAGGTCCAGTAGATGGCGAGAAATAAAAGCAGCAACTTTAGTTGGGGTAAAGCAGTATTGCTGAATGAGGCTTGGCTTTTCCTGCAGCCAGAACTTCCTAGGCCTCCCTTGCAGATAAGGGATTGACACATGGCCTCTGTGGGGGACCTCAGTGTGTCCTGTTCTCTTTAGGGTGCCAAGGATCCATGAGGTAGTGAGGCTGCCTACGCCCCGCACCTCTCTACACAGTGGCCCCGCTATGTAGAGAAACTCAGACCAAAACATATCTGACTCTGTCCTGTCACAATATCAGCAAGATAAACAAAAGGGATCAGTTCCCACCCCACAGGTCAGCCAACGTGGCAGTTCCTGTTTTATGGACCTGCAGGAATGCGGAGAGAGAAACCATTGCCTTCTCTATGGCAGGCTTCCAGGTGAAGCTTTAAAAAAGAGAAGCCCCAGCCTGCTGAGTGGTGGAGGCTCCAAAGGTCAGCTCCTACCAAAGACAGTGCCTCCGGGGAAGGCCACGTTCTTCTTTGTATATTTCTGGATGGCGCCTGCCTGACTGCTGGGTACTGATTTCATCCCCTCCTTTCTCTCCTAGAGCTGGAACACAGCTGGCATCGGAGAAACCCTCACGGATGACCTGCCCGCCTTTAGTCTCACCCCCCTCGAGTATATCAGCAACGTAAGAGCTTCTGTGTGCTTCTCCTGGGTGGTCCAAGCCTTTCAGACCTTCCGTGTCTTTTGATTCTGGCCCTTATCGTAGTCATAAACTGCCACGTTGGCCCTTTGGGTAGCTGTGTTTTGGGGTAGTCTACACCCAGATCCTGGAGTTGAAGAAGAGGTAGCAGAGCCACATGGCGATTCCAGACCCCAGCCCATTCTCACTCCTTCACCATCTCTTCTATATGAGATGCAGCCAGTACCTAAGAGTGTCACAGTGGAAAGTCTAATAGGAAATTCTGACGTGGGAAGTCAGGAGGCAGGTGGCCAAATTCTTCTCTGTGACTTTCAGAAAAGTGTGTGTTTGTGGTGATCCAGCTTTTAGTGATCACCTACAATGTGCCAGGCTCAGTGGGGAGTGCTTTCATGTTTAACTTCATAGCAACAAACAAATCTCTTCAGAATAATTGCAGTTATAGAGGCTTAATATTAAAAGAGAACAGAGTAAGCTGGGCGCAGTGGCTCACGCCTGTAATTCCAGCACTTTGGGAGGCTGAGACAAGCAGATCATGAGGTCAGGAGTTTGAGACCAGCCTGGCCAACATAGTGAAACCCTCTTGCTACTAAAATACAAAAATTAGCTGGGCATGGTGTCGGGCACCTGTAGTCCCAGCTGCTTGGGAGGCTGAGGCAGGAGAATCACTTGAACCCAGGAGGCAAAGGTTGTGGTGAGCCAAGATTGTGCTACTGCACTCCAGCCTGGGCAACACAGCGAGACTCTGTCTCAAAGAAAAAAAAAAAAGAAAGAATAAACCATGCAGGTGAGTGGGGACACATGGAGTCCTTGCAGCCCTCCCCATTCACCCCTGGGAATTGACAGTCACCCAGACACCTGCACACTGCTTTTCCTTCCATTCCTTCCTGCAGTCCAGTTCAATTGCTCAGTGCGCACAAGAAATACTACAGAGGAGTAACATGCACCAAACCACACTCACCTCATACAATGGGAGATTTCTGGGATTTTCCAAGGTGATTTTTGCCTTAGGCTCTTGCCTTAGAATCCAACCCCTATGTGTAAGTTGTGACTCTGCTGAAATAATTAGAAAGGAATTTTAAAAGTATTATAAATGTTAGGCTGGGCATGGTGGCTCATGCTATAGTTCGAGCACTGTGGGAAGTCAGGGCAAGAGAATTGCTTGAGCCCAAAAGTTTGAAACCATTCTGGGCAACATAGGGGGACCCCCCCCCCCAAAAAAATAATAAAATTAGCCGGGCATGGTGGTGTGTCCTGTGGTCCCAGCTACTTGGGGTGCTGAGGTGATACCACAGGACATACCACCATGCCTGGCTAATTTTTTTATTAGGTGGGAGGAGGTTGAGGTTGCAGTGAGCTGTGATTGCGCCACTGCACTCCAGCCTGGGCAACACAGCAGCCCCTGCCTCAGGAGAAAAAAGAGTACATGTTGTATAACTGGAAGACATGTGTCGCAGCCCCACTAGCAGGCAATGAGGTGGCTGGCTCTTTGCTCTCTGTTCATTTGGGGCAATATAAAAAATCTAAAACAATAGTCATTTCCCTTCTATTTCCCAGGGCACCTGATACCTTCTACTGATGAAACTGTTAAGATGTGGGTTGTTGATCTTTCCAACCCGTGGGAATGATCTGATTTTATTTTTATTTATTTTTGAGACAAAGTCTTGCTCTGTCACCCAGACTGGAGTGCAGTGGCGCAGTCATGGCTCACTGCAACCTCCGACTCCTGGGTTCAAGCCATTCTCCTGCCACAGCCTCCCAAGTAGCTGGGATTACAAGCATGTGCCACCACACCTGGTAACTTTATTTATTTATTTATTTATTTATTTATTTATTTATTTTGAGACAGAGTTTCGCTCTTGTTGCCCAGGCTGGAGTGCAATGGCGCGATCTCGGCTCACCGCAATCTCCGCCTCCTGGGTTCAGGCAATTCTCCTGCCTCAGCCTCCCGAGCAGCTGGGATTACAGGCACGCACCACCGTGCCCAGCTACTTTTTTGTGATTTTAGTAGAGACGGGGTTTCACCATGTTGACCAAGATGGTCTCTATCTGTTGACCTCGTGATCCACCCGCCTCGGCCTCCCAAAGTGCTGGGTTTACACCCAACTTGCCCTCGCAAAGTGCTGGGCGTGAGCCACTGTGCCTTGGCCAAATGATCTGATTTTAGAATGGAGGTAGTATGCTTGCAGTCTAAATTGATTCAGGAAATGATAGTACTAGAAGGGACCCGAGAGGCTACCAAGTTGATTCAAAGGTTGAAGAAACTGAGGTCTAGAGAGGGAAGGAGGGCTAGGAGGAGTTTCGAAGCCTGGGCCGTTCCCTGCCTGCTGCTGTCCTCCTGAGTTGTACCTGGAGGCTAATGACCTGAACCCAGGAAAGGGACACCTAATTGAACACGTACTGTGTGCAGGAACAGTGCCAGTGCCAGGTTGGTTAGTGCCTGGGCTGGATCATGCACGTGAGATGGGGTGTGGCAGCCCTCCTTCACAGTGGGAGTGGGGCTGGGAGGAAGCGGCTACTTACCCAGTGGCTGCTCTGTTAGGACGCCAGGTGCTTTACATGCATAGCACATGTGTTAATTCTACCCTCACTGCATCCCTTTGAAGTAATATGAGGTCATCCTCATTTCAGCGATGATGATCCAAGGTCCTGACAGATTAAGTTGCCCAGGTTCTCACAGTGGTAGAGCCAGAACTCCAACCCAAGTCTGTCTGATCTCAAAACTTCATTTTTCCCAAGTCACTGAGTTAACCCAACCAGGATATCAAGAAATATTTATTGAATATGTGAGAATAGTAGACAAATATCCACAGATGTGATGCTAAGCAGCCCTTTCCACATTGACTTCCGAAGGGTGAATAGAGACAAGACTCCTAAGAGAATCCTGCACCGTGGGACCCCTCTAGGAACCCTAGCAATCCCAAAGTCCAAGGCCAATTGACTGCAGTCAGAGATGGCAGATGATTGAAATTTTGCACCTAAATGATACTTCTCCTTATTGGTGAAAGCCCTCACTCACACAGAATCGTGTGAGCAATGTAAAGAGATGAAATAGGAGAAAATGCTTTGAAATTTAAAAGCAATATATGTGCAAGGTAAAACTGAATCTGTGGACTTAGCCAAAAACTTAAGGCTACAGATGAAAGGCATACCAAATACAGGAGTATGCCTGGGGTCTTTGTACATAGAAGGTGTTCAGGGAGGGCTTGTTGAGATGAATTATTATAGTGTGGAGAAATTCTAACACCAGAAATCAGCATCCTTCTCTTCCCCCAGCCTTGGGGAAAAATGATGAATTTGTTAACATTTCAAGCTGAAGTTTATAGTAGCTGTTGTTAGTGAGGTAAGTGGCCACTTGCCTACTTTGGGTGAAAGATTATACTAAGTACATGAAAGAAAAAAATGCTGATTTATTTTACCATCTGCGTACCTCTTATAAAGGGACACCAGGCGGTGTGCGGTGGCCCACACCTATAATCCCAGCACCTTGGGAGGCCAAGGCGGGTGGCTCACCTGAGGTCAGGAGTTCGAGATCAGCCTGGCCAACATGGTGAAAACCTGTCTCTACTAAAAATACAAAAAAAAAGTATCCAGGCATGGTGGTGCATGCCTATGGTCCCAGCTATTCGGGAGGCCGAGGCAGCAGAATGGCTTGAACCCAGGAGGTGGTGGTTGCAGTGAGCCAAGATTACGCCATTGCACTCCAGCCTGGGTGACAAGAGCAAAACTCCATCTCAAAAAAAAAAGGCGGGGGACACAAAACTAATAATTGTATTTTATTTGTTTAAACATAGTGAACTATTGGATGGATGTTTACACTTACACAGCCAAACCATTTGAATGGTTGGAAGCAAGGGCATGACCATCCTGTAGTTCTCTGGGCTGGGTAAATTTTTGAGTCTCTGTTAACTTCTGGACACCACACCCTGAAAGGAGCCTGCTGTTACGTAGACATGCGTGAGGTCAGATTGAGAAAATCTTGCTTCGATAGTCCCCTGACTTTGAGCCTACAGAATTATCAGTGACATCAATGTCATGGAATGAATATGTAGCAGGAAACAAACAAAAAAAAAAAGCAACAACAAGCTCAAAGATCTTTTAAAAATATATATTATCTTTTTGAAACCTGAAAAGTCAACCCCTTTATTTAGAAACAAAACATATACTTACCTGAAAACACAGAACAATGAATTATAATAGAAATAGGAAATAGTGGTCTAAAATACACTCATGATATCACATGGATATCTGACAAACACATGACAAAGACTGGGCTAATTGTGGGCTTGTCCCAAATGTCTCTTAGGACAATTGCAAATGACCTTTTGCAATTCCCCACCAGCCAGGGTTTTGTCTATCTTTAGTTTTAAGAGTTTGTATTATGAAAACAATATAGTTTTCTCTCCAAATTAATTTATAAATGGCTTTTTTTCCAGACAGAATTCCTTTCTTCTTCTGTTTTTATTATCTAGGAGGGAGAGAATCAGGTCCAAATCCAGAAGACAGGATTTTTTTTTGAGACAGTCTTACTCTTGTCACCCAGGCTGGAGTGCACTGGCATAGTCTTGGCTGACCGCAACCTCCACCTCCTAAGTTCAAGCAATTCTCCTGCCTGCGATTCCCGAGTAGCTGGGATTACAGGCACCCACCACCACACCTGGCTAATTTTTATACTAGTAATAGGACAGGGCTTCACCATGTTGGCCACGCTGGTCTCGAACTCCTGACCTCAGGTGATCCACCCACCTCAGCCTCCCAAGGTGCTGAGATTACAGGCATGAGCCACTGCGCTTGGCCTCAGAAGACAGGATTTGAATTCTTGCTTGGCCCCACACTTTCTGACACTAGTATCTTATTGGTCTTTCACCTATGAACAGTAATAATACTTACTACACAGTGCTTCAAATTTTACAAAGCATTTTGGTATCCATTACTTCATTTGAGATAGAGATTGTGTTGAATGCGTTCCAAAAATATTGGGGCCATTATGAGAAGGATGAATCTATAATCTACCTGCAAACTACCAAGGATTCTTTTTTAGGGTACTGCCATAGCAAACATTGCCACATACTGGAAAGATCAGACTTGGGATCGCCCCAGGTCTAGCTCTGCCATTTACTTTCACACAAATGTACCCATAAAGTACTAACCCATATGTGTCAATGTCAGGCTAACAGCGCTTTCTTCTGTTTCAGATCGGGCAGTACATCATGTCGCTCCCTCTGAATCTTGAGCCATTTGTGACTCAGGAAGACTCTGCCTTAGAGCTGGCATTGCATGCTGGAAAGCTGCCATTTCCTCCCGAGCAGGGTGAGCGGGGACCGTGGGTGGACTTGATGGGATTTAGATGATGCTTATGCCTGGCCTGGATGCTTGTTCCTAGCACTTTCACCTCTCCACACACACAGCTCTGCAAACTCCTCTGGAAATAATTGTCAGTATATAACATAGGTGGACTGGGTGCAGTGGCTCATGCCTGTAATCCTAACACTTTGGGAGATGGAGGCAGGAGGGTTGCTTGAGCCCAGGAGTTTGAGACCAGCCTGGGCAACACAATGAGATCTCTTGTCTACAAAAAAGTTAAAAAATTAGCCAGGTGTGGTGCTGCCTGCCTGTAGTTCTAGCTACTTGGCAGGCTGAGGCACGAGGATCAGGTGAGCTCAGAAGTTTGTGGTTGCAGAGAGCTATGGTGTTGCCGGCGCCCTTTGGCCTGGAATGATAGAGTGAGACTCTCTCTCATAAATAAATAAATAAATAAAAATTTCTTAAGAAGAAAGGTTAAAGGCTAACACCTGTAATCCTAGCACTTGGGGAGGCTGAGGCGGGTGGATCACGAGGTCAGGAGTTCAAGACCAGCCTGGCCAACATGGAGAAACCCTGTCTCTACTAAAAATACAAAAATTAACTGGACGTTGTGGCACATCCCTGTAATCCCAGCTACTTTGGAGGCTGAGGCACGAGAATCACTTGAAGCCTGGAGGTGGAGGTTGCAGTGAGCCAAGATTGCACCATTGTGCTCCAGCACGGGCAACAAAAGTGAAACTCTGTCTCAGAAGAAAAAAAAAAAGAAAGGTTAAAAATCAAGGACTGTAAAAACACATCTTATGTAAATGCAAATAGAAAGAAAACAAGGTAACTGCCTGATTATTAGATAAACTCTAATTTAAAAAAAAAAGAGTAAATGGGCCATGCAGGGTTGCTGCTCTGAGCTGTCCTGGCTGTGCCAGCTACATCCCTGCCTTCCAAGGGCTGCAGAACCCACACTGGTCCGCCACGTCCAGATATGGAGCTTGCGCTGCTGTCTGGGGGCTATTGTCAGGGCTCTCTGAACTAGTCTGGGACTGAGAGAGGGAGTTTGTGGGTGCAGGGGTGGTGCAGGAGAAAGGTTGAATGGGAGGACGAGGGTCAGATGGAAGGTGAATGGGGATCAGAGGCAGGAGGATGGGGACAGGAGGAATGACCAGTCAGGTCACAGAGCGCAAGATGATGAGCGTGGAGGTGAGGAACACGAGGAAAGGATGGAACGAGGAGGCAGCTGGGGGCCAAGCATGGGTGGGGGCCTGAGAGGTAGGAGGAGTGGGGAAGAAGCCAGGTTGTTCCAATTTGGGAACTGAGTGGGGACACTCCCTTATTGGGAGTAGACTCAAAGGTCTTCCCGGGCAAGTCCAGGACCAGACTGGGCCCCGAGGGAAGTGTTGCCCTCGGAGAAACAGCCACCCTCAGGTCCATTCTACCTGGGAGGGGACTGGGTATTTCCTCAAATCTTCTCTTCTGCCCACTTGTCTTCTGCCCACCTCCCATGTGAGCCACTTAGTACTCCCCCTGTGCAGTAACTATTCCCTTCGGGTACAAGGGATCAGCATCCACACAGTTTGCCACAAGAAATAGGACTTTATTTTTCTTATTTGTATTTTTTTTTTTTTGAGATGGAGTTTTACTCTGTTGCCCAGGCTGGAATGCAGTGATGCAAGCAGGGCTCACTGCAGCCTCAACTTCGCAGGCCCCAGTGGTCTTCCCACCTCAGCCTCCCAAGTAGCTGGAACCACAGGCACACGCCACCATGCCCGGCTAATTTTTTATTTTTGGTAGAGACAGGATTTCACCGTGTTGCCCAGGCTGGTCTTGAACTACTGAGCTCAAGTGATCCACCTGCCTTGGCCTCCAAGTGCTGGGAGTACAGACATGAGCCACCATGTCTGGCCTTTGCTAGAGTATTTAAGTCAAATCCCAAGTACCTTATGATTTTACTCATAAATATTTCAATATTGATAAGGAAGGACTCAGTGCAGCTTCACATTTTTTGGCAAGAAAACTACGGTGCTGGGTATACTGTCTGTTACACATTAGGAAGAGTATAATGTCTTCTAAAACACATAGGGATGTAGTGAACGTGTAATTGTTTTGTTCATTTATTCATTCAACTCATAAGTTTACTCATTCACTTAACAAGTGTTTATTAATTGCTTTTTATTTGTGAAGGACTGGGTTGGGCATTATTAAGATAGTAAAAATCCCCTCCCAGCCATAAAGTAAAATTTTAACAATGATTGACAGAAGAAGCCAATCTGGGTATTTTTTTCTTTACCTCTCTCAACATTGTGAAAAATTTCAAACAGAGAGAAAATTACAATTATACAGTGAGCATCCATCTCTAATCTGATGATTTCTAGCATTTTAGCACGGCAGATTTTAAGAATCAAGGGGTCGGGCACGGTGGCTCAAGCCTGTAATCCCAGCACTTTGGGAGGCCAAGGCGGGTGGATCATGAGGTCAAGAGATCGAGACCATCTTGGTCAACATGGTGAGACCCCGTCTCTACTAAAAATACAAAAATTAGCCAGGCATGGTGACAGGCGCCTTTAAGCCGAGCTACTCGGGAGGCTGAGGCAGGAGAATTGCCTGAACCCAGGAGGCAGAGGTTGCGGTGAGCCGAGATTGCGCCATTGCATTCCAGCCTGGGTAACAAGAGCGAAACTCCGTCTCAAAAAAAAAAAAAAAAATCAAGGAACTTTTTTGCTTAGGTAAATGGCTTTTTTCTAAGAGATGTGATAAGTAGAACCTTTCTAAGTCTTGGGGCCGGTGCGGTGGCTCATGCCTGTAATCCCAGAACTTTGGGAGGCCAAGGTGGGCAATCCCTTGAGGTCAGGAGTTCGAGACCAGGCTGGCCAACATGGTAAAACCCCGTCTCTACTAAAAATACAAAAATTAGCCAGGCATGGTGGCAGGTGCCTTTAATCCGAGCTACTCGGGAGGCTGAGGCAGGAGAATTGCTTGAACCCAGAAGACAGAGGTTGTAGTGCCCCAAGGCTGTTCCCCAAATCAAATGCAGAAGCATTTCATCTGCCTGGCCTTGAACACCTTCCTTCCTGACATTTCCTTTCTCTCCTGAGTTCTGCCTTTTGCTTCCATGTGTTAGTACTTGTCCTTGCCTTTTGACTAATTGTTCCCTGCCAGCATAAAAACCTCTGATGTCCCCACTCAAAGCTATAGGATAAAATCTAAACTCCTCCCTGGTCCAGGAAGTGCTGGCAGCCTCATCTGCCCTTCCTCCCACCTCTCTCTCTCTCAACTGCTCACACTCAGATTTCTGCCACTCAGGACTTTTTCTTAATATTATTATTATTTTTAGAGATGGGATCTCACTCTGTTACCCAGGCTGGAGTGCAGTGATGCCATCATAGCTCACTGCAGACTCTAACTCCTGGGCTCAAGCAATCCTCCTGGCTCAGCCTCCCCAGCCTTCCTGGGACTATTGGTATATGCCACCATGTCTGGATAATTTTTTAGTTTTGTACAAATGAGTTCTCACTGTGTTACCCAGGCTGATCAACTCTTGGGCTCAAGCATTCCTCCAAACTTGGTCTCCCAGAGTGCTGGGATTATAGGCATGAGCCACCATGCCTGGCCTCTTAATTTTAAAATAGTTTCTCATGCCGGGCATGGTGGCTCATGCCTGTAATCCCAACACTTTGGGAGGCCAAGGCCGGTGGATCACGAGGTCAGGAGTTTGAGACCACCCTGGCCTCAAAGATGGTGAAACCCTGTTTCCATATTAAAAAAAAATAGCTTCTCTTTTTCTCTGATTAAAAATCTTCCACTCTGAGGCCGGGTGCAGTGGCTCACGCCCGTAATCCCACCACTTTGGGATGCTGAGGTGGGTGGGTCACCTGAGGTCAGGAGTTAGAGACCAGCCTGGCCAATATGGCAAAACCCTGTCTCTACTAAAAATAAAAAAATTAGCCAGATGTGGTGGTGGGCACCTGTAATCCCACCTACTTGGGAGGCTAAGGCAGGAAAATGGAGTGAGACTCTGTCTCCAAAAAAAAAAAATTACCACTCTGAGAGTCACTGGTAACATTTTAGGGACTGTTGCCCTGTACATCTTTCTTTGCAGATCTCACACACACACACACACACACACACACACACACACACACACTTTTTCATAATTAGGATCATGTTGCATGTGCTTTGTTATCACTTTTTTTTTATGAGACAGAGTCTTGCTCTGTTGCCCAGGCTGGAGTGCAGTGGTGTGATCTTGGCTCACTGCAACCTCTGCCTCCCAGACTCAAGTGATTCTCCTGCCTTAGCCTCCTGAGTAGCTGGGGCTGTAGGTATACGCCACCACGCCCAGCTAATTTTTTGTATTTTTAGCAGAGACAGCGTTTTGCATGTTGCCCAGGCCGTTCTCAAACTCCTAACCTCAAGTGATCGCCTGCTTCGGCCTCCCAAAGTTCTGGGATTACAGGCGTGAGCCACCATGCCTGGCCTCATGGACACTTTTTAAAAACAATTTTTTTTTGCCCCATGGTTGGAATGATTTTCCTCATGGGTATTTGGCAAACAGCCCATTTGTTTCTATTCTTCCTCGGCAGCCTGAAGTGAAGGTATTTGCTCCTAATTCTGTGCTCCTGTTAATCTTGAATGCACCTTCATTGTAACACCAACTGCACTGTGCGTGATGAACGCCTTCTTTCTCCCACGGCCACAGAGTACAATAAATGCAGGGTCATCCAGCACCAATACCCAGAGGAGCTCTGCACCCAGCAGGTCATTAGTAAATGAGGGTTTGTGCAGTGAGCAAGTGACTGCCCATCACCCGCTATGTCCAGCACGGCACCTCTTCCCCCTCAACTCGGAGTGTACCCTGAGGCTCCAGCCGAGGGCTCTGCCTCATTTTCACTTCTCCTTTTATTCAGTTTTCATCTCTGCCCAGTAACTCTCAAGTCTAGGTATTTGGCCTCTGGTTATGTTCAGGCTGGCCTTTTCTGGGTATTCTACTGTCTAGTCAAATTCAGCAGGAAGGAGGTTTCTCTCCCAAAGCAGCTTCACTGCCAGAGCTGCGTTTCTGGCCATGTTACAAGTCTAGTTGTCAGTTTCCATGGTAGAAACCCCAGATTACATCTTACCTTTGGGCTCATTTGTCACCGACCCCTGTTTTTTGTTTTGTTTTAGCCTTCTAACTTGTACTTTTTATACAGATGCTGTGTTTAAAACAGTATCAACTTAAAAGAAAAAATCTATGACAATATCCCACTGTGGAACATACTGGTATTTCTATTTTCCCTTGTGCCCTCTGGCTCTGCTCTGTAAGCAGATGGTATTTTGTGTGTAAATTTATATTCTGTATTATTATTATTATTATTGAGACAGAGTCTTGCTGTGTCAGCCAGACTGAAGTACAGTGTCACAATCTTGGCTCACTGCAATTTCTGCTTCCCGGGTTCAAGTGATTCTCCTGCCTCAGCCTCCAAAGTAGCTGGGATTACAGGCACCTACCACCACATCCAGCTAATTTTTGTATTTTGGTAGAGATGGGGTTTCACCAACTTGGCCAGGCTGGTCTCGAACTCCTGACCTCAAGTGATCTGACCACTGTGGCCTCTCAAAGTGCTGGGATTACAGATGTGAGCCACTGCGCCCAGTCTATATTCTGTATTATTATTTTTAGCACTCATAGCAGTATCCCTGTCTTCAAAAAGTATCTTATTTCACCGCTTGGCCTCATACTTTTTTTTTAAATATTGCTCTCATTTCCCCCTTCTTTCCATTCTGGCATCAAGTGGCCTCTTCTCTCTAGGAGGCCAGGCCCGCCTGTCTTGCCTGGACACCTGCCCCATCTTCCCGCCTCACCTCGCCACAGCCTGACCAGCTTGCCTGCATGGGCTTGTCGTGTTGAAGCCTTGGTCATGATGCAGGGCAGGTGAGCCCCAAATTGTGGCTTAGCCCCAGAGGGTCCTTGGCTTCACTCAGGAAAGAATTCCTGAGTGAACTGGTGTAGAAGAAAGCAGCTTTATTGAGATGGCAGTGTTACGGCTCTGTGACTGTCCCGTAGGCGGCCTGCTGAGATCAGCGGCTCAGGACAGTTCCGGAGTCATGATGATCCCCACTTTTGTTTACATTGCAAATTAAAGGGGAGGATTATGCAGAAAATTTTAGCAAAAGGGTGGTAACTCTGTGTTGTTGGGTTGTTGCCATGGCAGTGGTAAACTGAGATGGCCCTGGTGGGCATATTTATGGAAAGCTGCCTTCACCCTGTTCCTGTGTGAGCTAGCCCTCAATGTGGTCTGGTGTCCCAGCCCTGCCTCTGGAGTTGAGTCCTGCATCCTACCTCACTGGGACCCTACAGTTGTTCCCTGTCTCCTACGACATGGGATCCACGTGATTCTCGGGTGCTGTCCACAGCCCAACCCGCCTCCCCCTCCCTGTAATCATTCTAGCACTAATCGCAGCACACTGATTGTGTGCCAGCCCATGCCAAGGGCCTTGTGTGCATTCTCTAACTTAATTCCCACAGCAGCTCAGTAAAGCCTGGGGTGTTACCGCCCCTGCCTCCACACCACCCCTGCCCCCACACCATCCCTGCCACACACTTTACAGGTGAAAATCACATCTGAGAGGTGAGGAAGCACTCAGCTTCTTAGCCAGGGAGTCTCAATTCTGATGTGACCTCTGTCTTGACTGTTGTGCTCTGCCTCCTGGTGGTGGGCTGGTGTCTCCCTGTTCCCACCTGTCTACCCACCTGTGCCTACTCACCTACCCTCTGGTTTTGGGCTCCCCTCGCTGGGCCTCCCTGCAGTCTGCAGAAATCCTCCTGGCCTGCATGGCTGGACTTAGTCCCCAGGCCTTCAGGGATGCTTATGTTATTAACCCGATCGCTTCCTTTTCTGAATCCTCATTGTACTTAGTCATACTGGTTGACCTAAGATGTATTTTAAAAATTTTTTTAATTTAATTTTTTTTGAGATAGGGCCTCGCTCTGTCACTCAGGCTGGAGTACAGTGGCACCATCTCAGCTCACTACAACCTCTGCCTTCTAGGTTCAAGCAATTCCTCTGCCTTAGCCTCCTGAGTAGCTTGGACTACAGGTGCCTGCCGCCAAGCCTGGCTAATTTGTGTATTTTTAACAGAGATGTGGTTTTACCACATTGGCCAGGCTGGTCTTAAACTTCTGACCTGCAATGATCCGCCCACCTCAGCCTTCCAAAGTGCTGGGATTATTGGCATGAGCCACTGCACCCGGCCCTAAGATGTAACTGTTCTCAGTTTCCTATGTTTCCTGTTAAGAATGGAAACTTCCTGGCATGTTGGTGCATTCAGCAGCTACTATGGGCCAGATCACCCAGCAGGTTCTGCATTTCCTTGGTGACCTCCTTTCCTTTTCAGGGGATGAATTGCCTGAGCTGGATAACATGGCTGACAACTGGCTGGGCTCGATCGCCAGAGCCACGATGCAGACCTACTGTGATGCAATCCTCCAGATTCCCGAGCTGAGCCCACACTCTGCCAAGCAGCTGGCCACCGACATCGGTGGGTCCACACGGGACAGGTGGTGGGAGGGACAGCTCTTGCCTGCTGCATCTGTCAGTTTCTCCTTTGCCCTCCAGGAATCTTATCCCACGTCTCCCCTTAGCTTCAGCTGTGGATTTGGTTCCGAAGCTGGTTGAAAATTCAGGTTCTCCAGGCTCCACCCCAGAGATTCTGACTTAGCAAGCCCAGGTTGAAGCTCAGACATCTGTGTTTTGAAAGAGGACTTGAGAACCATTGAAGGGAGCTTCACTGAGATAAGCTTCAGCAAGTCCTGTGGCCTGGCCCTGCCTGGCCCCGCCTGGCCCCGCCTGGCCCCGCCTGGCCCGCTCCATTTGTACCATAATTCCCAACCAGTGTTTAACGAGCTCTTACTGCATACTAGGCATGCCTGGTGCCGGAACAAGCACTCACACCCACCATCTTATGTAATCCCAAACTCCCCTGTGAGGTGGGTGCTCTCTTCTCCATCATACCAGTAAGGAAACGGAGGCCCGAGGCAGTTGCATAACAAGGCCACATGGCCAGGGTCACTCTATGGTCTCCATCCAGATAGCATCCTGCCTCCCACATTAGTGGGTGTGTCCCCTCTGCTCCTGCCTGGCCTCATCCCTGGAGGGCCTCACTGCCCAGGTGTGCTCTGAGCGTGGGGCTACTGCTGGCAGGTGGCAGGGCGTCTCCCCAGTCTCTTGATATCATTCCATTGCCTTGCTGGCTTTTTATCCTAATGCAGCTCTTGGGGTGGTCAGGAGAGAGGGTGGTAGAAGCCTGAAAGATCAGCTCCCTGGGGACCTAGCCAGAGCTTCGTCCTCGATGACCACAACAGGGCTGAGTCAGGCTCAGCCAGCTTCTACCTCTTATTTTGCAGAAGAACTAGAAGCAAGGTGCTTTTTTTCTGGGTCCCGGAGCTGCTAGTGATGGAGCAGGCCTGAGATCCAGCTGTCCTGAGTTCCTGACCGCTCCTCATTTCTTAGTCAGCTCTCAGCACTTACCAGAGGAACAGTCAGCCTTTTGGCTATTTCCCTTCCAAGAAAGAAATGAGACAATTCAAGTGAGCAGTGGTGTTCCCTGTTAGTACAGGCAGCAGCAGGGGGAAGAGACTCAACTGGAACTAGTGAATGGAGTGAGATCTAGGGATTGCCCTCAATTTCAGTTGTCCTTGTTATTCCTCCCTTTAAGCTCCCCCTGCAGATTCATTCCTTCACTCATTCAGCATTGCTGGAGCATCTGCGTGCCAGCTCTAGTTCTAAGATGAGACAGCAGAGCTTTAGGCAGCTCCCATGCTTACTGAGCTTACACTGTAAGGATGTGAGGTTAGGGGCAGGGAAAGTAAGGCTAGTATATGAAACTGACAGGATGTAAGGTGATAGAGAGTAATGAGGTCCGTGGCAAAGCTTGCACACTTGAAAGGCATTCAAATCAAGCATGAGCACAAACAGAACAAAAAACACTGCTGGCCAAACAAAAATGTCCTGGTAGACTCTGCGCCCGCTGTTTGCAGCTCTTGGCCGGCAGTCAAGTGGAGCTCACAATTTTATGGATAAACTTGTAAAGGAGTAGGTACCTACCAGTGTGACCAGTGTGTGTGTGTGTGTGTGTGTGTGTGTGTGTGTTGGTGGGGATGGGAGTGATACTGGTTAGTTCTTTATTAAATTAGAGTTTCTGGACTCATGCTAAGCTCATAGTCTGGTCTGACCCTGTGGGAAGAACCCCAGGAGAAAAGGGCATCTAGCAACTTGGCAGGGCGGATTCTCTGTTTCATATTCAGGAGAGGCCTTGTGGGGCTCTATCCTGCTTGGCACTGAGTCTGTGGAGCTCTGTCTGTCTCCTCTCTGCCCCACAGACTATCTGATCAACGTGATGGACGCCCTGGGCCTGCAGCCATCCCGCACCCTCCAGCACATTGTGATGCTCCTGAAGGCTAGGCCCGAGGACTATAGACAGGTCAGCAAAGGCCTGCCCCGTCGCCTGGCCACCACTGTGGCCACCATGCGGAATGTGAATTACTGACCCCACCACCCACCTGACCACCAAGAGGCTCAGGACTGCTGTTCCATGACTCGCCAGCACAGATTTGCTCAGAAACTCTGCCCAGGATTGGGCAGAAGTTACTTTAAAAGACTAGGTTCATTTGCATAATCAAAAAGGAGTTGTAAATTAAAGATTTATTATTTATCAGAGAAGACTTTTTAGATAATTTTTTTAAAGGATCTGATCTTGAAAATGTAATAAATAACTACTGTGAAATGCAAGAAGGCTGTTTCCTTCCATCCTTCTTTTTTTTTTCTCTTGATCTTTTGCCCAAGGCTGGAGTATAGTGGTACGATCTTAAATCACTGCAGCCTCCGCCTCCTGGGCTCAAGTGATTCTCCTGCCTCGGCCTCCGAGTAGCTGGGATTACAGGTGCCTGCCACCATGCCCGGCTAATTTTTGTATTTTTAGTAGAGACGGGTTTCACTATGTTGGCCAGGCTGGTCTCAAACTCCTGACCTTAAGTGATCTGCCTGACTTGGCCTCCCAAAGTGCTGGTATTATAGGGGAAAGCCACTGCACCCAGCCCCTTCCCTCTTCAATGCATTTTCAAGCGCTTCCCTTGTGCACCTACCCTGCTGTGCGCTCTGGGGATGTCTAGGGATATGGGCCTGTAGTTTATGCTCGGTGGGAGAGGGAGGGAGGGAAAGAGAAGAAGGTAAATGAGGGTAATTTCAGAGGTAAGTGCTAGTGGAAAAGTGGGTATCAGGGTGAAAGGTGGCACTGGATAAAATGGGCAGCTCTCACCTACAGGGTGAAAGCCATGTGGCTAGAGTGTGGTGGCACAATCAGAACTCACTGCACCCTTGAATTCTTGGGCACAAGTGATTCCCCTGCCTTGGCTCCTTAAGGAGTTGGGACTGCAGACGAGCACCACCATACCTGGCTAATTTTTAAAAACTTATTTGTAGAGATGGGATCTTACTTTGTTGCCCAGGCTGGTCTCGATCTCCTGGGCCCAAGAAATCCTGCCTCGGCCTCCCAAAATGCTAGGAATACAGGCATGAGCCACTGCGCCTGGCTTACTTTTTTTCTTTTTTAATATGTATGGTATATGAAAGTCAACGTTTTTGTCAGTAGTTGTAAGTAATGGAATAATGTAATTTGAGTGACTTAAACAGAAATTAATTTTTTCTCAATAATAAGAGGTAAAAAGTGGCCAGGCACGGTGGCTCACACCTGTAATCCCAGCACTTTGGGAGGCTGAGGCAGGTGAATCACCTGAGGTCAGGAGTTCAAGACCAGCCTGGTCAACATGGTGAAGCCCCATCTCTACTAAAAACACAAAAATTAGCTGGGCATGGTGGTGTGCATCAATAATGCAGCTACTCAGGAGGCTGAAGCAGGAGAATCGCTTGCACCTGGGAGGTGGAGGTTGCTGTGAGCCGACACCACTGCTGTCCAGCCTGGGCGATGGAGACTCCATCTCAAAAAAAAAAAAAAGTAAAAGGGTGCTGACTACAGGTGCTTATTTAGTGGCTGGTTGGAGTCAGGCCCAGGGCTAGCCCTTCTGTGATCCCGACGTTTTCCCCACATGCTGGACACCTCATCATGGTAGGTGACTATTGCAACTGCAGGTGCCGCGTCTGCATTCAGGGAAGAAGAGAGCAGCGACAGTAGATCAGCAATTCTGTCCCTTCGATCATGCAAGTGGAGGCTGCCCTGGAAGCGCTGGCTAGCCTTCTAGCCCTCACTAGCCATTTCTCAGTCCCGAGGCGTACCCGCTACAAGGGAGGCGGGAAAGCCTGGGAAGCGTGCTGGATTCAACCAGCGTTTCTCAGCCTTGGCTATTGACGTTTTGGGCTAGACAGCTCCTGCCTCAATTCTCCTGCCTCAGCCTCCCCAGTAGCTGGGATTACAGACATGCGCCTCCTCACCTTACAACTATTAACGCGGTCCTGTGCATTGCAGGCTGTTTAACATTCCTGACCCCAACCCACTAGATGCCAATAGTATTTTCCTAGTTGTGAAACCAAAAATGTCTCCAGAAACTTACTCCAGTTGAGAAACACTAGCTCAGAACAATCAGGACTTAAAGCCTGAGCTGGGCTTATTGGCTGCCTTGATTGGGTTTCTGTTAGCAAGAAAGGGGATGGCAGTAGTGTCTGTCATAGGGGCTGTCATTGGAATTGAGTTCTGCCTGGGTCTCAGGGGCTGGGCTGAGCTCTGCTTCTCTCTGGGGTATCTCACAGACCAGGCATGGTGGCTCATGCCTGTAATCCTATGGCTTTGGGAGGATCGCTTGAGGCCAAGAGTTTGAGACCAGCCTGGGCAACATAGTGAGACTTTATCTCTACCAAAAAATACAAAAATTAGCCTGTGGTGGTATGCACCTGTGGTTTCAGCTACTTGGGAGGCTGAGGTGGGAGGATCAGTTGTGCTTGGGAGTTTGAGGCTGTAGTGAGCCAAGATTGTACTACCATACTCCAGCCTGTGTGATTAAGCAAGACTCATCTCTACAAAAATGTTTTAAAAATTAGCCGGGCATGGTGGTGGGTGCCTGTAGTTCCAGCTACTCAAGAGGGTGAGACACTGGAGGAGGCTCACTGGAGGCCAGGAATTGGAGGTTGCAGTGAGCTATGATCTCGACACTGTGCTTCAGCCTAGGTGACAGTGACACCCTGTGTCAATATATAAATAAACAAATGTCACTCTAGCCTTGGGAGGCAGGGGTCTTATCCACAGTATGGAGAGGTTTAGGGACTTTCCTAGGAGGGCCACTCAACTACCGCGTGGCAGGGCCGGAGTTCAGAGTGAGCCTGGTGACCGTGGCACCCTTATTTCTGTCCAGCTGCCAGGCAGCCTTCCTCATGTGGGACACGGGGGGCACATGGCGGGACACCGCATCCCAGTAGGCAGGCAGGTCACCCAGGCCAGCCCTCTGGAGTGGCCCTGCCATGCCCAAGGCCATTTTTTTTTTTTTTCGATATGGAGTCTTGCTGTATCACCCAGGCTGAGTGCAATGGGGCGATCTCAGCTCACTGCAGCCTCCACCTCCTGGGTTTAAATTGTTCTCGTGCTTCAGCCTCCTGAGTAGCAGGTGCAGTCCTGGCTTACTACAACTCCCAGGTTCAAGCAATTCTCCTGCCTCTGCCTCCCCAGTAGCTGGGATTACAGACATGCACCACCTCACCTGGCTAATTTTTGTATTTTTAGTAGAGACGGGGTTTCATCATGTTGTTCAGGCTGGTCTTGAACTCCTGACCTCAGGTTATCTGCCTGCCTTGGTCTCCCAAAGTGCTGGGATTACAGGCACGAGCCACTGCACCCAGCCTCCAAAGCCACTCTTGAACCAGCCCCACTGGGCTGCCAGGGTCAGTGTCCCACTGGCTCTGTCCTCACAGGGCTTCCTACACATGCCATCCTCTCATTCTCAGAACCAGTTTGTCCTCAGCCAAACTGGTTCTGAGGACCAGAGGATGGCATGTGTAGGAACACCCCAACAGCATCGGCTTCAAACCCACATGAAGAAAAATATTTTGGTTTCTCATGTGTTGGATCACAGGCTGTTCCTGGCAGGATTTGAGCCTGGCTATTGCCTCTAAGAAGTGAGAGCCAGAAACCTAGTGCTGCTTGAAAGTGGAAGCTTTGTGGTAGCTTTGTGCTGGGCTCATGAGAGCTACTAGGCTGTGGAGTGGAACAGTCTTGGGCTTGATTCAAAGTTTCACCACCTCCCAGCTGCTGTGTGATCTTGGAAAAGTCACCTCACCTCTTCGAGCCTCATTTCCTAATCTGAAAACTGGGTGTCATGATGGTACCTAACTGATAGGGTTATTTGAAGAGCCATTGAAATACAGCCACGGTGTGGCCACATGTACACAATGTTAATTTCTTTCTTTCTTTTCTTTTTTTTTTTTTTTTTTTTTGACACAGTCTCACTCTGTTGCTCAGGTTGGAGTAGAGTGACTCGATCTCAGCTCACTGCAACCTCCGCCTCCTAGGTTCAAGTGATTATCCTGCCTTAGCCTCCCGAGGAGCTGGGATGGCAGGCGTGCACCACCATTTCTGGCTGATTTTTGTATTTTAATAGAGATAGGGTTTCACCAGGTTGGCCAGGCTGGTTTTGGACTCCTGACCTCAAGTGATTTGCCCGCTGTGGCCACCCAAAATGCTAGGATTACAGGCATGAGCCATCGCACCCGGCCCACAATGTTAATGTCATAGTTCTCTACATCTGTAACCCACCTTCCCTTTTGGGGTAGAGTTGGGAATTATAGAATGCTGTTTTCTGGGCAATTTGGGCTCCACCAGCCTAAGTTTCTAGCCCTAAAAAAGGGATCTCAGAATAGGAGCAGGACGGCATTTCTCTCCGCTGGATCCAGAGGGTGGAGGGATGACTTGGAGCCTGCTTTTAGTGATGAGGTCATTACACCACAGCCTGGCCCTCATGGCCCCATGAGAGCAGGGATGGCAAACTGATGCCTACCCTCAGCCTGGTCCTGGCCTCACGCATCTACAGGCACCTCCAAAATGTCTCTGAACAGAACCTCTCAGAGGTGTTTGTAAAGGGCCACCCTCTATAGATTCACTCCGGGCTGGCCAGACAGCATCTCCATCCATTCTCTGTTGCGATGAACCATTCATGATGAGCATGGCCCTGGGCTGGTCCAAATGAGCCTCATTCCTGGGGCTATTGCTGGGACAGCGTGCAGGAAGAGTTTTCTTCTCCCTGGGGTTGCTGTGCTGAGGGCACAGGCTGCCATTGCAGGTGTAAAGAGATTTTCAGAAAGAACAGCACATGGGGGAAATCTTTCTAAGAAGGACGGCAACACAGAATCACCAGACAGGGCCAGGCATGGTGGCATCACATCTGTAATCCCAGCACTTTGGGAGGCTGAGGCTGGTGGATTGCTTGAGCCAGGAGTTCGAAACCAGCTTGGGCTACATGGCAAGACCTTGTCTCTCCAAAAAATATAAAAATTAGCCGGGAATGGTGGTACATGCCTGTACTCCCAGCTACTTGGGAAGGTAGAGGTGGGAGGATCACCTGAACCTAGAAGGTCCAGGTTAAAGTGAGCTGTGATTGTGCCATTGCACCCCAGCCTGGGCAACAGAGTGAGACCCTGTCTCAAAAAAAAAGAAAGAAAAGACCAGAGAAATAAACCTTAGGCCTGACACAGTGGCTCATGCCTGTAATCCCAGCACTTTGGGAGGCTGAGGCAGGTGGATCACGGGGGTCAGGAGTTCGAGACCAGCCTGGCCAACATGGTGGAACCCTGTCTTTACTAAAATACAAAAATTAGCCTGGCATGGTGGTGGATGGCTGTAATCTCAGCTACTCAGGGGGCTGAGGCAGGAGAATTACTTGATCCTGGGAGGCGGAGGTTGCAGTAAGCTGAGATCGCACCATTACACTCCAGCCTGGACAACAAGAGGGAAACTCCAACTCAAAAAAAAAAAGAAAAGAAAAAATAAAAAAGAAATCCTAGATCTAAGCAAACCCCTGCATCCAGCCATGCCTGCAATTCTTTTACTACAAGAGCTAATGAATTTCCTTTGTAGCTTAAGCCTGTTCAAACTGACATGTGACTGAAGAGCTGTCACAGGGGCTAGATAATAATGTCCCAGAGCTTCAAATGAGATAATAAATACAAAATCTCTGAGCCATTGGCACCCAGAGGGTGAGGCTGGGGTCTCAGCTTTGTCACTTACAAACCTTGAGTACCTTACTTCGCCTCTTAAGCCTCAGTGTACTCACCTGTGCAATGGGATGCTATTATACAATTTCTCCGTGGTTATGAGAATGAAATAAGATTTTAAAAGTATTTGGCATGGTGCCTGGCATGTCATAAGTACTTGATCCAATGTAGTCCTTGTTTAATGACAACAAATGGTAGCAGTGAGTGTGGCCACAACTGCTACTGCTAGTAATAAAAGCGGTAATCATAGTAGGAAGGGTGATAGCCATGAACTAGCCAGGCCACACGCTGGGAAATCCGGCTTCCTCCAGCTCTCCCTACTCAGCCCCTACTGACGTTGCCTTTGACTTGAAGTAGCACTGACGATGTGGCACGTCTGTATTCCACAGGTGCCACCCGAGCCCTTGATGGGAGGCCAGCTTGTTTACCTTCCAGACCAAGGGACGCACGTGATCTCGGCCAGGAAGGCTGGGCCCTCGGAGGCGCAGGCACTCCCTCATCACCAGGGGCCTGGCAGGCGACAGCAGGGCCATCTGTGTGTGCACCTGCCAGAATGTACTCTTCTCTGGTGACAGCTCCCTGATCTCTCTTTGGGAGCTTTAAGATTTTGGGGAACTGTATTTAGTAATTAAAAATAAAAAAATGAAAAAAATTAAAGTTAAACTTTAATTAAAATATTAGCCATGCGTGATCATGCATACCCATAATTCCAGCTACTTGGGAGGCTGAAGTGGGAGGATGGCTTGAGCTCAGGAGTTTGAGGCTACAGTGAGCCATGAGCGTGCCATTGCACTCCCACCTGGGCAACACAGTGACACCCCATCTCTATAAAAAATGTATAAAATGCTCAAGAAAAACAACAAATGATTTATTACTCTGTGTCTCCAGTATTGCATGGATATACTTATACTAAAAAATCAGTTTGTTGGCCTAGGTCGGTGGCTCACACCTGTAATCCCAGCATTTTGGGAGGCTGAGGCAGGTGGATCACCTGAGGCCAGGAGTTTGAGACCAGCCTGGCCAACATGGTGATACCCCATCTCTACTAAAAATACAAAAATTAGCTAGGCATGGTGGCCTGTGCCTATAATCCCAGCTACTCGGGAGGCTGAGGCAGATGAATCACTTGAGACCTGGAGACAGAGGTTGTAGTGAGCCAAGATTGTGCCACTGCACTCCAGCGTGGGTGACAAAAGCAAGACCCCATCTCAAAAAAAGAAAATCAGTTTGTCTATCTGAAATTCAAATTCAACCAAGTAGATTGATTGTTATCTGACAACCCTGGAGCCGTGCCCCCACCGCCCATGGACTATGTGATTCTCCTGGGAGACAAACTGGCTTCCGGTCTGGGCAGATGAGTTCAGTTGTGACCAATCAGAGCAGCCTATCTAGCTGGCCACATTGACGAGGTCAGAGATGGGCACATGACTCAGGCAGGGACCAATGAGCATCGGCCTGGGAGCTGACAGCGGAAGGAGGGGCTTGAGACCCTTTCCCTTAAACCAGTTTGGGTCTCTCAAGCCAGCATGAATGTCCTTCCACCATCAGGGCACCCCAGCTCCCCAGTCAAACACACAACACAGCTGGACTCAGTATTTTCTACTTTTATTTCCTAGAGTAAATCAGGTGTCACCTGGCAGGGCCCCCGCAGCTGATGCCCTTCCATCCCTCCACCACCCCTGCCCTGGGAGCCAGCCAAGGCCAGGAAGGAGAAGACCACATGGCCACCTGCCTGTTCCTCTCTGGGGTGGACGGAGACTGGCACTGGGAAGGAAGTTGTCTGCCACCAGGAGAGAGTGTTCTGGGGGTTCTCCGGGCCCCAGTAAGGGTCAAGATAGGGATGAGGGCAGGAACCACAAGAAGACACAATTAGTTCCTGCATCATCTACCAGCACCGTGACCCTACGGAGCCCTTGGCCAGGAACGGGCCTCTCTGTTGAAGGACACAGGCTCTGGCTTGGACAGCTACCCTCCTGACCCTTTGGAGAGGGCACCATCCAACGAGGCCTCGGGCAACAGTCTTGGCTGCTCAGTGAGTTCGAGCTGCCAGGGTAGGCAGGGGCGGGGTTAGATGGCATCACCATCGCTTTCGGACTCGATGACATCCAGTGGCTGCAGACGCAGGGAGTCGTAGTTGGGGGGCGGGGTGCCCGGGATGGGCAGAGCCTGCTCATTGGGGTAGGACCCAGTGTTGGGGCTGTGGGGGTATGTGTCAGGCTGGAAGCTGAAGTTGGTGTGGGCCTCCACCAGCTCAGCCACGGTGGGCGGTGGGCCGGAGTAGTTGGCTTGGGCTCGCCGCTGCCGTAGGCTCTTGGCCAAGGCCACCAGCTTGATGATGGTGATCCACACAAAGTCGATGATGATCTCCCCAAACTCGATGAGGCACAGCACAGAACCCCCCATCCAGAAGCCAAACTGGCCACCCAGATTCGAGAGCAGCCAGACGATCTGTGGGAAATGGAGAGCTGGGGTGGGCTCAGGCCTTACATTCTTGCCTGTAGCCCAGGCTCACAGGTTCCTGGGAGGTGGTTCTTGGTTGCAACAGAAGGAGATGACCCTCTCAGCCCAGGGGAATAATTCAGGACTGCTTTAGGGATCTTCCTAATCCCTCCATAGGGCTCAGAACCCTTCCCCTACCCTCAGGGTGCAGGGATGGGACAGGGCAGGGCTGGGGTATCAGGAGCCTCCTACACTCACATTATTGGCTGCTGATTCTTCAATGGTGCGATAGTTAAATTCTTGGAAGTAGATGTTGAGCTTGACAATTCCCTTCCTGCAGGAGGCAGCAAGAAGGGTCAGGACTAAGGTATCCCCCTTCCAGACACACACACACACACACACACACACATATGCACACATGCACACAGACACATGCATGCAAACATACACCTGCATGTATGCACACACATGCAGCCACACACACATGTACCCAGGCACACACACACAGAGGAAGGCAGCCAAAGCACTGCCCCAGCCCTCCTCTGTCCTGAGCTTCTGTCATGCCTGCCTCTATGAGTGGTGACGTCTGAACAAGAACTGGAAGTGCAGTCCTTCCCAGCCCCTTTGAGTGTCTCTGCCCAGCACCCTTCTATGGCCCCCTTTCTCCACCCCTTGCCGACCAGTTCCCTACGGGACACTCTGGCCTGAGACAGCACAAAGATCTGCTCTCGGCTCTCTGATTTGTACCCTCAGGGTGGCCCGGGCTATACTCAGTGACTCTGCACAGAGCTCTTCACTGAGACTTGAGTGCCTTCACTGCACCTGGGACAGAGAAGGGTGGCTGTGTGGGCTTCCCCTCCCACTGATGGGCCTCAGACAGGCTGTGCTATCTCGAGCCTCCAGGCTTTCAAGCTTTGTCTTCTGCCTGGACATTGGTGCCTTTTGTTATCTGAACAGCACTTAACTCCTCCTTGGAGAGCTCACTCAAAGCTACCTCCCTACTCAGACCTCCCTTATCTCTGAGGTAGACTGAGGCTCCTTCCCTGCTGCTCTCCTAGAGTAGGGGGCTTGTATGGTGGACCCTTCTTTCCTTGAGCCCTGTTGGCATGTATTTCGCCCCTAGACTCCTGCTAGCTTGAACCATGTGTCTTTCTTGTGCTCAACTAGTGTTTGTGTTGAGTGGATGGAAAGATCCATGAATGGATGGAGGATGGCTGGGTGTGTGAGTGGGAAAATGGAAGGGTGGGTGATGGAGGATGAATGGATGGAGGATGGCTGGGTGTGTGGGTGGGAGAATGGAAGGGTGAGTGATGGAGGATGAATGGATGGAGGATGGCTGGGTGTGTGGGTGGGAGAATGGAAGGGTGGGTGATGGAGGATGAATGGATGGAGGATGGCTGGGTGTGTGGGTGGGAGAATGGAAGGGTGGGTGATGGAGGATGAATGGATGGAGGATGGCTGGGTGTGTGGGTGGGAGAATGGAAGGGTGGGTGATGGAGGCTGCATGGATGGAGGATGGCTGGGTGTTTGGGTGGGAGAATGGAAGGGTGGGTGATGGAGGCTGCATGGATGGAGGTTGGCTGGGTGTGTGGGTGGACGGAGGATGAATGGATGGCTGAGTGGATGGAGAGTGACAGAGGGAAGCACAGATTCCCTTAGAGGGTATTAGACTCAGGGTCCCTGTGGCTGCCTTTCCTCTCTCTCACACCCAGTGCCTCCTCCTCAAGGCTTGCTCCCGGATGTGACCCATGTGGGAAGGTGTCTGAGGAGCTGCTCTGTGTCCAAACTCCTGCCCTGAGGTTCTGGTACCCACTTCCCTGTCTTCCCCAGCCCCACCCAGGCTCAGGCTCACCTGCTCAGGGTGATATTGGTGCTTTGGTCCCGCTCCTGAGACAAGACATGGAAAATCCAGTCCTGGAACCCAAGAAGGTGGCTGCAAAAGTTGCCATCTGCAGCATCCCTCCCAGTCATGGCCCTGCTCCCTGGGGGAGGTAGACCACAGCCCTGACCCTTCCTGAGGCCCCAGGGAATCACAGTTTGGAGGGGGAGCAGGAGGAAGATTGTAGTGGAAGCTGTGGCTGCTGTTCTGGGGGAGAAGGGACTTGGGCCTCCAGACTCTTCCCTGGCAGGCCTGGCCTCCCTACCCAGCTCTTTCTCGCCTCTGGTCCTCACACTTCCTGCTCCCTCTGCCTGGAATCCTCCACTGCTCTGCCCATGTTGGCTTAGCCTCTGCCTCCAGGTGTCAGCTGAAATGTTGCCTTTTTAGAGAGGCCTTCCCTGACCATTCTATCTAAAGTGTCTTCCCGGAGGCTGGGCATGGTGGCTCATGCCTGTAATCCCAGCATTTTGTGAGGCCTAGGTGGGAGGATCGCTTGAGGCCAGGAGTTCAAGACCAGCCTGGGCAACATAGCGAGCTCCATCTCTGCAAAAAGTTTAACAATTAGCCAGGCCTGGTGGCATGTGCCTGTGGTTCCAGCTGAGGACCATAGCTGAGGCAGGAGGATCATGTGAGCCCAGGAGTTCGAGGCTTTGGTGAGCTGTGATCACATCACTGTACTCCAGCCTGGGCAACAGAGCAAGCCCTGTCTCTAAAAATAAAAAATAAAGTAAAAATACAGAAATAAAGTAGTTTCCCCCAGTTATTTTCTCCCATCACCTGTTTATTTCACAGCCGTGATCACACTTTGAAATGATCTTATTTCTATTTGTGATCTTGGCCCTCTCCTATTAGAATGTAAGCTCTTTAAGGACAAGGATTATGTCTGTCTAATAATGTGCAGTGTGCATAGCACAGTGCCTGGGAGAATATTGGTAGAAGGAAAGAAGAAAGGAAGGGAGGGAAGGAAGGAAGGAAGGAAGAAAGGAAGGGAGAAGGGAGGGAGGGAGGAAGAAAGGGAAAAGGGAGGAAGAAAGGGATGGGGAGGGGAGGAAGGAAGGGAGAAGGATGAAGGAAGGAAGGAGGAAGGAAGGAAGGGAAAGGGGGAAAGAAGAGAGGAAGGAAGGGAGGGAGGGAGGAAGGAAGGAAGGGAGAAGGGAGGAAGGAAGAAGGAAGGAAGGAAGGGAATGGAGGAAGGAAGGAAGAGAGGAAGGAAGGAAGGGTGGGAGGGAGGGAGGGAGGGAAGAAGGAAGGAAGGGAAAAGGGAGGGATGGAGGAAGGACAGAAGGGAGGGAGGGAGGGAGGGAGGGAAAGAGAGGAAGGAAGGAGGGAGGGAAAAATCACCCCTTCCAAATTTTCAAATAGCCCAGATCTTATGTCCAGACTTGTCCCCAGCCCAAAGCTGGGGGCCAGGAGCTTGGCCCCCAACTGCCTCACCTCAGAGGCCTCAGAAGGCCAGTCGGCCATGGAGATGGTCATCTTGTACTGGGTGTCACTGAAAGAGAAGGCTAGCCCTGTTACAGTGCCTGCCAGTGGTGCCCCTCTGTGCCTGCCTGCCGCTGCGCCCGCGTGCCCGGACTCACTTGCAGGACTCCTTGCACATGCCGATGCAGGTCTCTCTCTGTGCCACGCTCATCTGCAGATCTGAGTAGCAATGGGCTGTGCAGGAGACAGAGAGGCGGCTGAGAGGCTTTGAGGGGGTGGCTTCTAGGTGGCCCTGTCCCCTGCTGAGTCTCTGGCTGGCTCCTCTGCTCTCCTGGCCCTGTGGTTAGGTGCTGGGAGGAGGTGTCATAAAGAATCACTGCTCCCCACCCAGCCCCGACCTCCAGCCCTTTCACCCCAGCCTGGCCTGGGGCCCACCTCAGGGAGGTCAGAGCAGCTTTCCCTTTGCCGGCCGTCCCCATCCCTGCCTAGTAGACGGGGTTATAAGGTCATGAACAAAGGGAAAGGGCGGGTGACTGGAAGGAATAAAGTTTTCCCATCAGTTTGTGTTGGTTATAAGTGGTCAGGCTCCTGCTGACAGCATTCTTTACATTCTTGCTTTTACTTTTTTTTTTTGGTAGAGACGGGATTTTGCCATGTTGACCAGGTTGGTCTCGAACTCCTGGCCTCAAGTGATCCTCTCACCTTGACCTCCCAAAGTGTTGGGATTACAAGCATGAGCCACCGCACCCTGCTGACAACATTCATCAGTGGCTGGACTCCAGACCACCACGTGAGTGCACAAAAGCCAGAGGCACAAACGCAGACCCTCCAAGTGATGTGTGCCTGTGCATAAACCTACATACAGCTACCTATCGCAGACACCAATGGCTCCTGTGCATTTGGACACAAGCGTGGAAATGCCTTTGCCCACCTGCATTTGGAAACATGAGTGCAGGCACACACATGTCAGCAGCCACACGGCTAGGCTTGTGCATGTAAGAGCAACTGTGTGGCACACAGACACAGGCTCGCAAGGACACATGCACCCCGCCCCTATGTGTTTCAAGCCCATGCTCCATGAAATTGAGGTGTAGATAGAAGCCTGGGTTCCTGCAGAAAGGGGTCGTGGGAGGGGATTGTAGGAGGGACCTTGGACTGTGAAGGAGCCACCCTGGGCACATCTCTGGGCTCTGCTGAGGGCACTGAGCTCTGCCCCCTCCTCTGTGGTCAGTGCCTCTGTGGCTGCAGCTGGCTGGAGTACCAATCCCCCTGTACCCCACTCACCCCAGTCTGGGAAGTCCCGGTTGTTGCAGTATTTCTCCCCACGGGGCAGTGGGTACAGGTAGTGGCCACAGCTGCAGTGATGGATCATGTGGTCTTGGAAGCAGGAGTGAAGACAGGCCTGTGGGGGGGTGGGGGTTCATAAGGAGAGAACACAGGCATGGTCGGTGATGTCCCCATTCCAGCACCAGGGGTGTCCGGAGAAGTGATGCCCAGGCAAGGGAGCTAGGGGAGCTAGCAGAGATGCTCCAGGGAGGAGATGACTTGCCTGCAGCTATGGACCCCACAGTCCTGGACGCTTTTGGCTTCATAGCAGGTTCCTAGACCCTGCAGAGGGACCCAGGTCAGACCCCAGCATCCCAGGTCTCAACATTCAGAGCTGGGGTCCTCACCCCTCACTATGGAGAAGAGCAGCTTGCCCCTAATAATAAAGCCAATGCTTAGATAGCTCTCATGATGAGGACGCCAGCCTCCTTCTGAGCACTTGACACAGATGCAGCCTGAAAGGCCGCCAAGGAAGCCTGTCGGGCTGGCTCTGTGCTCCTTCCTTCCGGAGGGAATTGCCCAGGGAAAGCCAGGAGAAGGATGCTCTCTGAGTGTCCTGACGCACAGCCCATGACGGAGGAAGTGGCGGCCTGCTGGTCTGTAGCACGTCTCCTGGTCGGGCGAGGAAGAAGAAGGCTCCCAGGGCAGCCTCTGGGTGACTGGAAGTGATGAGTCTCCACTCACTCGGCCCCAAATACTGGGCTTTCAAGTCATTTTGACCTGGTTTCAGTCCACTCAGAGACCAACTATGTGTCCTAGGGCAAGTCATGAACCTCTGGGGCTGGGTTTACTCAGATAAAAAACAGAGTGTTGGTGACACCTGTCTCCTGAGGTTGGGAGGGAGGATTCAGGGCCACATCAGGTGCCCGGGAAGCGGTTCTTGGTGTTTCATTGCCTTTTCAGTTTCCTAGGTCCTGACTACCCTGGGCTCCTGGATCCAGCCCTGGCCAGCTCCTCCCTACTGCTCTCCACTCAGCCCCACCCTCCACACCTGCGACCACATCCTCCTCTCTTGCTCCTCCTTCGGCTCCTTCCCAGGCCCCTACGTCCTGCCTTTCTCTTGCCCCTAACGAGTCTGTGGGCTCTCTGAGGGCAGGACATTGGGGCTGGATGGCAGATTAAATGACATGGCCAGGAGGAGCCAGAGCTGGGTTTTGGAATATTCTTTTTTGTTTTTTGAGATGGAGTCTTGCTCCGTCACTCAGACTGGAGGGCAGTGGTGTGATCTTGGCTCAGTGCAACCTCTACCTCCTGAGTTCAAGTGATTCTTTTGTCTCAGCCTCCCCCGAGTAGCTGGGATTACAGGCACGTGCCACCATACCCAGCTGATTTTTGTATTTTTAGTAGAGACAGGTTTCACCATGTTGGCCAGGCTGGTCTCGAACTCCTGACCCCAGGTGATCCACCCACCTCAGCCTCCCAAAGTGCTGGGATTACAGGCATGAGCCATCGTGCCTGGCACCACCCCACTCCTTTTTATTTTTTTGAGACAGAGTCTCATTCTGTCGCCCAGGCTGGAGTGTAGTGGTGCGATCTCGGTTTATTGCAATCTCCGCCTCCTGGGTTCAAGCGATTCTCCTGCCCCAGCCTCCCAAGTAGCTGGGACTGCAGATAGCCACCACACTCAGCTAATTTTTTTGTATTTTTAGTAGAGATGGGTTTCACCATGTTAGCCAGGATATTCTCGATCTCCTGACCTTGTGATCCGCCCACCTTGGCCTCCCAAAGTGCTGGGATTGCAGGTGTGAGCCACCACACCCAGCCTCTTTTTTTATTTTCCTTTTCTTCCTGAGACAGGATCTCACTCTGTCACCCAGGCTGGAGTGTAGTGGCAGGATCATAACTTGCTGCATCCTCAAACTCCTAGACTCAAGCCATCCTCCAGCCTCAGCCTCTGCGTAGCTGGGACTACAGGCGTGCACCACCACATCCCGCCAAGGTATCTTATATTCTTGCAGACCTCTCTGTCTCATCTGGAAAGTGGGAGTCCTTCCCAGGCCCTGTGATGGAGGCTGGGGTGGGCTCAAGCCTGTTCCTTGTTGGAGTGGAAGTGTGGATGTGTAGAGCTCCTGCAGGGCCCGCCTCTGGGCTAAGTTTTCTGGCCAGCGTGGCTACCACACTGGAAGAAACAAGAAGCACAGTTCTCCTGGAATGAGGTTTCTGGGCTGGGGCCTTCATCTCTGTGTTTACCACGCACTGCCCTGTCTGTCCCTCTAGAGGCTCAGATGATGCCTAGAGTCCTCCACAATGGACAGAAATCCCTCCAGCCAGGAAGTGGCCAAACCAGCCAGGCAATGGGTGGGCAGGCGGGCACCAGGAGAGTCATTTCCTATGACTAAGGGGAAAGGGCAAGCCATGCCATGCTTGGGGACCCAGACACTGAGGCAGGCACTGGGCTGCCCTCCTGTTATGCTTCCACGTACTGATCTGCCAAGGCAGACTGGGCTGGGAGAGGGAGTATCAGCGAGCGGTCATTTTTGTCACCTTGCAAGAATTCAGTCTGCCCTCTCTAAGGGGGCCAGGACTAGGGGCAGGTCTGGGATAACTCTGGAGATCAGGACAAGAGGGAAGCCTCCAGCTACAGCAAGGGGGATTGAGAGCAGATACAAAGAGGGACTTCCAGTGGGCACAGTGGCTCATGCCTATAATCTCAGCATTTTGGGAGGCCAGAGTAGGAGGATTGTTTGAGCCCAGGAGTTCGCAACCAGCCTGGGAAACATACCAAGATTCTATCTCTGCAAAAAAATTTAAAAATTAAGAAATTAGCCAGGTACAGTGGCTCATGCCTATGGTCCTGGCTACTAGGGAGGCTGAGGCAAAAAGATCGCTTGAATCCAAGAGTTTGAGGCTATAGTAAACTATGATGGCACCATTACACTTCAGCTTGGCTGACAGAGCAAGACCCTGTCTCTCTTTTATTTTATGATTTTATTTATTTTTAGACAGAGTCTCACTCTGTCACTCAGGCTGAGTTCTGTGGTGCGATCTCAGCTCACTGTAACCTCTGCTTCCCGGGTTCACTCAATTACCTTGCCTCAGCCTCCCAAGTAGCTGGGACTACAGGCACATGCCACCACACCTGGCTAATTTGTGTATGTGTGTATTTTTAGTAGAGACGAGGTTTCACCATGTTGGCCAGGCTGATCTCGAACTCCTGACCTCAAGTGATGCACCCGCCTCAGCCTCCCAAAGTGCTGTGATTACAGGTGTAAGCCACCCTGCCCGGCAATCTCTTAAAAAAAAAAAGAGGGACTTCTCAGGTAAACTGATGATGCATTTGCATTGGGGTCTGAAAATCCCAATTTCCTCATTTGTAAAATGGGAATGGGAATGATAATAGCATTGACATCTTAGGGTTGTCGTGAGAGTTAAATGATGTAATATACATGCAAATTACTTACAACAGTGACTGCCTAACACATGGTAAGCCTGCTATTATTAGTTCATCAACACATGCTGCTGTCATCAGTAGATTATGGATTCATGAGGGGAAGGGGTGGAAGGATTAAATAACGATGGAATTCGTACCAGCCTTTAGCATAGCATCGCACATGAAAGGAGAGCTTGATGGTGTTAGCTGCTGTTTTTTTGTTTTCATCTTGGGAAACCCCAGAGTAAGATCCCTATAATCCCCTGGGCATGCGCAAGGGTGCACATGCCCAAGTGGGGATGAGAAGTGGGCAGTTCTAGGCCCTGGTGAGAGAGCCCAGGAAAGTGACTGGTCCCACAGGCCCAAGGGTGCCCCGTAGTCGCTAAAAAAAGCCCAGCAGAGCCAGCCTTGCTGGGGCCAGCTTTCCCGGAGGACTAAGGCCTCGGCCCCATAAGCCTGGATGGCTCCCCCTCCACCCCGCATGAGGTGTGCACCATCTTCCCACCTGGATGGAGTAGGTTGTGTTGTAGTCACTGTAGAAGTTTGGGATGGGGACCTCAGAGCCGTTCACGGTGCACTGGCTGTAGGGCTCTCCCATGCGCTGCAGCTTGTCCTGTGTTTAGAGGGGTTGCTTGAGGTGGGCCCTGGTCACCCCAGGAAGCCCTTCTGCATGTCCTTCCATCAAGGATGCAGGGACGGGGGATGCTGAGAGGGGACGGAGGGCTGTAGATCCCTGCAGGCACCAGAGGGAGTGCCAGAGGCTCACCTTCCCCTAAAGCTTGGCCACCCTGGGGGGTTTCCAGACAAAACGAAGGCTGGCCAGAGAGGGCTGGGGGCCCAGATCCCCTCCTCCCAGGCTAAGGGAAGTTGGCCCTGGACAGGTGGGCTCCCACCCTCAGACCCTCTTGGGCTGCCCTGGGCTCCGGCCATACCACAAGTACCCCGATGGACGTCTCCGTCCCCGACATGGCGTAGATGCCCTCATCTCTGATGAAGGGGTACGACCTCTGCTCATGAAGCATCAGCCTGACCCCAGCCGTGGACGTGAGGAAGGGAACATAGTCTTCCTGGCCTATGTCCAGGATCAACTTCAGGCCTGTGGGGAGGGTGGGGTGAGAGCTGCCTGAACTTGCTCCTGAGGCAGAAAGGAGATGCCACTATCCACTTCCCTGAGCTCCCTCCAGCCAGGGGACCTCCAGGGACTGCCAAGGAGGCTTGCTCCGCTTTGCAAACACACTGCTTGCCTTCTGCAAAGCCCCTGTCATCTCCAAGGCAGGCTCTGATGTAGCCTCCTCACTGTGATCTCTTCTGATCAGCAGGTGGATCTAGGAGGCACAGCATGACCGCAGCCCACTCACACCACCCTGCCTCACACCATAGGTGCCCTCGCTGTCCTGGCTCCGTGCCTCCGACCTTCTGCTGTGCCTTTGCAAATGCTGTTCCCTCACTCTGGAATGCTGTTCCTCACTCTGGAATGCTGTTCCCTTACCTAGAATGCTGTTCCTTGCTCTGGAGTGCTGTTCCCTCTCTCTGGAATGCTGTCTCTGCCCCTTCCCTTCCCCTAGAAACACATGCTCTTCCTTCAGATCTCAACCAGTATTGCTTCCTCCAGAAGCCTTCCCTGATGGCTCAGATGAGGTCTCAGGGTCGTGGCTGTATGCTCTTCTAGCCCCAGAACTTTCCTTCCAAGTACCTGTCTCGTTGGTGTGATTCTTCTTTTATTGTCTGTCTTCCTTCCCCACTTGACTGTTCTTGAGAGAAGGGACTGGACCCAATCTCCCATGCATCACGGTCCTGAGCTACATGGAGCTGAGTCCCTCTGGTTAGGACAATAAGGGCTAGTTGGGCACTTGCTGCTTGCTGGGTGCTGTGCTAAGGGCTTCATTAAGCATGAGCTCTTCAGACAGTCATGGTGGCTCACAGCTGTAATCCCAGCACTTTGAGAGGCTGAGGTGGGCAGATCACTTGAGGTCAGGAGTTCAAGACCAGTCTGGTTAACATGGTGAAACCCTATCTCTACTGAAAAATGCAAAAATTAGCCAGGAGTGGTTGGCCATGTCTGTAATCCCAGTTACCTGGGAGGCTGAGGCAGGAGAACTGCTTGAACCTGGGAGACAGAGGTTGCAGTGAGCCGAGATTATGACACTGCAATCCAGCCAGGGCAACAGAGCAAAACTGTCTCAAAAAAGTAAAAATAATAATAAATACAAAAACTAGCTGGGCATTGTGTTATTCGCCTGCAATCCAGCTACTTGGGAGGCTGAGGCAGGAGAATCACTTGAACCCGGGAGGTGGAGGTTGCAGCGAGCCAAGATCACGCCACTGCACTCCAGCTTGAGTGAGAGAGCAAGACTCCATCTCCAAAAATGAAATGAAATGAAATAAAATAAACATGAGCTCCTTGAATACTCACAAGGGCCACATGACATAGGTACTAGTATTGTCCCCATTTTACAGATGGGGAAACTGAGGCATAGAGAAGGGAAGGGACTTGTCTGAGGTCTTCCAGTGAGGAAGTGCTTTTGCTGTGCTTCTGACACAGCAGCTGGCTCCCGGACTGTACTCATCTGCCTTGGGGAGTAAGTTGACTGGCACCTCTGTGACAGTGCTTTTAGCAGCACAAAGCTAGAAAGACACTCAGCTCACCTGCCCCCTCTTGGCCAGCAGCCCTGATGGTCACTGAATGACAGCTTGCCTCTTGGTGGCTGCAGAGGTCAGAACCTGAGAGGGTTCTAGAACCTGAGAGGGAGGAGGGGTCCACTCCCACCTGTGCCCAGCTCACAAGCCCAAAAGTCACAGCCAACCTGGGTCCACCAGTCCTTCTCTAGGGGACAGTGCAACACATGAGCCCCAAGGGAGAGGATCTGCCATCCACCATGCCCCACTTCCTTACTTCCATAGACTCCTTCAGCTTCTCTCTGTGTGTCTCTGTCTTTAAGGACTGTACAGCCTCGGCCGGGCGAGGTGGCTCACGCCTGTAATCCCAGCACTTTGGGAGGCTGAGGTAGGTGGATCACCTGAGGTCAGGAGTTCAAGACCAGCCTGACCAACATGATGAAACCCCGTCTCTACTAAAAATACAAAAAATTAGCCAGGTGTGGTGGCGCCTACCTATAGTCCCAGCTACTCGAGAGGCTGAGGCAGGAGAATTGCTTGAACCATGGAGGCAGAGGTTGCAGTGAGCCAAGATCATGCCATTGCACTCCAGCCTGGGTGGCAGAGCAAGACTCTGTCGAAGAAGAAGAAGAAGAAGAAGAAGAAGAAGAAGAAGAAGAAGAAGAAGAAGAAGAAGAAGAAGAAGAAGAAGAAGAAGAAGAAGAAGAAGAAGAAAAGAGAAGAAGAGAAGAAGAGAAGAAGAAGAAGAAGAAGAAGGGGAGGAGGAGGAGGAAGAAGGAGAAGAAGAACTGTACAGCCTGGTGCAGTGGATCACATCTGTAATCCCAGCACTTTGAGAGGGCAATGAGGGCAGATTGCTTGAGCCCAGGAGTTCAAGACAGCCTGGGCAGCATGGTGAAACCTCATCTCTACAAACAATTAGCTGGGCATAGTAGTGCACACCTGCAGTCCTAGCTCTTCAGGAGGCTGAGGTGGGAGGATCACCTGAGCCTAGGAGGTTGAGGCTGCAGTGAACTAGATCACACCACTGCACCGGCAGCAGAGTGAGACCTTGTCTCAAACAACAACAACAAAACAGGCCAGGCGCGGTGGCTCACGCTTGTGATCCTAGCACTTTGAGAGGCTGAGTTGGGTGGATCACGAGGTCAAGAGATTGAAACCATTCTGGCCAACGTGGTGAAACCCTGTCTTTCCTAAAAATACAGAAATTAGCTGGGTGTGGTGGTGGGTGCCTGTAATTTCAGCTACTCGGGAGGCTGAGGCAGGAGAATTGCTAGAACCTGGGAGATGGAGGTTGCAGGGAGCCGAGATCATACCATTGCACACCAGCCTGGGTGACAGAGCGAGACTCTTAACTCAAAACAACAACAACAACAAAAAACAGCTGGGCGTGGTGGCTTATGCCTGTAATCCCAGCACTTTGGGAGGCTGAGGTGGGCAGATCACGAGGTCAGGGGTTCAAGACCAGCCTGACCAACATGGTGAAGCCCCATCTCTACTTAAAAATACAAAAATTTGCCGGACATTGTAGCATGCACCTGTAATCCCAGCTACTTGGGAGGCTGAGGCAGGAGAATTGCTTGAACATGGGAGGCGGAGGTTGCGGTGAGCCGAGAGCGTGCCATTGCACTCCAGCCCCGGCAACAGAAAAAGAAAAAGAAAAGAAAAGGAAAAAAAGAACTGTACAGCAGAGAGACAGAGGGACTAAGAGACTAATAAGCATTATGTATTTGTTTTCCTTTTCTAATTTGTGTGAAGGTAAGGGGCACAAGTGCAGCTTTGTTCCATGGAGTTTTGTACAGTGGTGAAGTCTAGCTTTTACTGTAATCATCCCTAGAATCATATATGCTGTACTCACTAAGTAATTTCTTGCCCCTCACCTGCCTCCTGCCCTCCACCTGGCTAAGTCTCCGATGTCCATCCTTTGGTACTATGTCCACGTGTGCAAGTCATTTAGCTCCCACTTACAGGTAAGCACATGTGATATCTTTCTGTCCATGTATTAACTGCATGGTCCTGGACAAGTTGTTTTAAAACTGCTCAGAATATATGGAGCATTAATGGAGCTCCAGCATATATGGAGCATTTCCTACTTCCTAGGCGGGTGAAACAGTTTACCACATTACATCATAATGACTCACAAGGCATATACCATTTACTCATCCTAATGGCTCACAATGTAGATACAATTTTGATGCTCTACTTTGCTACTATATATTAATCTATGCATGGGGAAACCAAGGCCTTGAGAAGGTTGGTCTGGAGCTCAGGAACGCCCTGTGAGTGGTGAAGCTGCAGTGGTGTGATCATGGCTCACTGCAGCCTTGACTTCCCCAGATAAAGCGATCTTCCTGTCTCAGCCTCCCAAGTAACTGGAACTATAGGTATGCACCACCATGCCTGGCTAATTTTTGTATTTTATTTTATGTATTTATTTATTTATATTATAGACGGGGTTTCATCATGTTGGCCAGGATGGTCTTGAACTCCCAACCTCAGGTGATCTGCCCGCCTTGGCCTCCCAAAGTGCTGGGATTACAGGCGTGAGCTACTGTGCCGGGCCTAATTTTGGTATTTTTTTAAGAGATGGGGTTTTGCTATGTTGCCCAGGCAGGTCTCGAACTCCTGGCTTAAGCAATCCTCCCATCTTGGCCTCTCAAAGTGTTGAGATTACAGGCATGAGCCACCATGCTTGGCTGAAGCTTGAGCTCTTGACCACTAAGCTGTGCTGCTTCCAAAGCCTCACTTTGCTCATCAGCAAAATGGGAACACCAGTCGCTACCCCAGGGATTCTGAGCCTTGGGGGAGGGAACACCTGGCCTGGCCTCCCCTGGCACATATTAGGGCCTTAGTAGTGGCCACTCCTCTTGATGCCAGCCTCCGTGCCCCTCAGTCCCACCCTGCAACAGCTGATGGTCTTTCAGTCCCACATGGTGGGGGTGGTTAAAGCCTCATGGCTCTGGCCCCAGGATAAACCAAAACTCACCAAATTCAGTTCCAGGGTTGGCCGAAGGAAGTGCCTTCTCTGTCATGCCCCAGTTGAAGATGTAACAGTTACCATAATGAGGGTAGAAGATGGATGTGAAGTTCCTGCAAGAAACAGCATCAGCTGCAGTGCAGGGACCACCACAGACAATGCCTCCCCCAACTGTCTGCTGTTGGCCCTTCATTTCCTCCTTGGAAGGGCTCCAAAAGGGAGAGGCAAGCAACAGGTCATTCTGCCCATCATCTTGCAGAAACCAGAGAGGGGATTCTCTGGCTCCCTTGGAAAAGTGGGAGGAAGGAGTTTCTCTGGAGTTGCGGCTAAGGCTCTCTGGTTTAGCCATGAGTTATTAAAAAAAACTTTCTGGCCGGGCATGGTGGCTCACACCTGTAATCCCAGCACTTTGGGAGGCCGAGGTATGAGAATTGCTTGAGGCCAGGAGTTTGAGACCAGCCTGGACAGCACGGTGAGACCCTCATCTCTACAAAAAATACAAAAATTAGCTGGGTGTGGTGGTGGGCGCCTGTAATCCCAGCTACTTGGGAGGCTAAGGCTGGAGAGTCGCTTGAGCCCAGGAGTTCGAGGCTGCCTGGGCTATGACTGAGCCACTGCACTCCAGCCTGGGTTGACAGAGTGAGACTGTCTCTAAAAAAAAGAAAAAAAGAAAAAGAATTTTTTTTTTTGGTGAGGTGGAGTTTTGCTCTTGTCACCCAGACTGGAGTGCAGTGGCGCCATGTTCGCTCACTGCAACCTCTGCCTCCTGGGTTCAAGCGACTCTCCAGCCTTAGCCTCCCAACTAGCTGGGATTACAGGTGCCCACCACCACGCCTGGCTTATTTTTGTATTTTTAGTAGAGATGGGGTTTCACCATGTTGGCCAGGCTGGTCTCAAACCCCTGACCTCAGATGATCTGCCCGCCTTGGTCTCCCAAAGTGCTGGGATTACAGGCGTGAGCCACCGCTCCTGGCTGAAAAAGAACTTAGATGTTTTCATGTGTCCCACATAAGCCTTAAAGGAGACATGTCCTTACCCCAGGAACCTGTGAATGTGACTGTATTTGGAAAAACGATCTTGGCAGATGTGACTAAAGATCTTGAGATGAGGTCATCTTGGATTATCCAGGTGGGCCGTAAATCCAATGACAAGTGTCCTTAGAAGACACAGAAGCAAAGACAGTATCTGTCTTGCTTCAGTGGGTGAAGCCCATTGAAGACTGAGGCAGAGGCCTTCAGACACAAGCTGAGGAATGCCTGGATCCACCAAAAGGCTCAGGAGAGAATTCCTGCTTGCCTCTTCTGTTGACTGGTGTGCTGGAGTTCATCAGACTCTGTTCTGCCAACATGCATGTTCTCAAGTCTCCAAAGTAAGCAGCTTTAAAAAAATTCTCTTGATGTTTTTATATTGTTCTTTTTTTTATTTATTAAGAATAAGAGGAGGCTGGGAATGGTGGCTTATTCCTGTAATTCCAGCACTTTGCGAGACCAAGGCAGGAGGATAGCCTGGGCCCAGGAGTTTTTTTGTTTTTTTGTTTGTTTGTTTTGAGACAGAGTCTCACTCTGTTGCTCAGGCTGGAGTGAAGTGGCATGATCTCAGCTCACTGCAGCCTCCTCCTCCTGGGTTCAAATGATTCTTCTACCTCAGCCTCCTGAGTAGCTGGGATTGCAGGCACCTACCATCACACCCAGCTAATTTGTGTATTTTTAGCAGAGACAGGGTTTCACCATGTTGGCCAGGCTGCTCTTGAACTCCTGACCTCAGTTGATCCACCCACCTTGGCCTCCCAAAGTGCTGACATTACAGGTATGAGCCACTGTGCCTGGCTGAGCCTAGGAGTTTGAGACCAGCCTGGCCAACATATTGAGACTCCTGTCTCTACAGAAAAAAAAAAGACAGGAGTGGTGTGGTGGTGAGTGTCTGTAGTCCCAGGTACTTGGAGGGACATCTGATGTAGGAGGATCACCTGAGTTTGGGGAGATTGAGGCTGTAGTGAGCTGTGACTGCACCACTGCACTCCAGCCTGGGCAACAGAGTGAGACCCTGTATCAAATAAATAAATACCTAAATTGTAAAAAATTAAAAATAAAAACAGAAAAGAATGAGAGTAAGTATATGAAATGATGCATACACACAAAAAATCCCCTGCCATGCAGTATCGTCTTTGAAGCCTTAGGATCCACAGCAAACATTCACTGATCGACTTTTTTTTTTTTTTTGAGACAGAGTCTCACTCTGTCATCCAGGCTGGAGTACAGTAGCATGATCTTGGCTTACTGCAACCTCTGCCTCCCGGCTTCAAGCAATTCTCTGCCTCAGTCTCCCAAGTAGCTGGGATTAGAGGTGCCCACCACCATGCCTGGCTAATTTCTGTATTTTTAGTAGAGACGGGGTTTCACCATCTTGGCCAGGCGGGTCTTGAACTCCTGACCTCGATCTCAGCTCACTGCAGCCTCCTTCCTCCTGGGTTCAAATGATTCTTCTGCCTCAGCCTCCTGAGTAGCTGGGATTGCAGGCACCTACCATCACACCCAGCTAATTTGTGTATTTTTAGCAGAGACAGGGTTTCACCATGTTGGCCAGGCTGCTCTTGAACTCCTGACCTCAGTTGATCCACCCACCTTGGCCTCCCAAAGTGCTGAGATTACAGGCGTGAGCCACCACGCCCGGCCTCATTGGGCTACATTTATGGGCCAGACCTCTGTTGAATCTTTCCGTATACATGATCTCATTTAATCCTCAAAATAACCCTAGGAGGTCAGGTGCAATTTCCCCGTTTTCAGATAAGGAAGCCATTTCCTGCATCTTTTTTTCTCAGCTTGTGGACTTGCAGAATGACTTGGTCCAGGGCAGGCTGTGAAATGGGATATGGGGGCCGACCCCAGTTCTGCCACTGTCAACAGATTTGAGCTGCTTACTCAACCTCTGAGCTTGGGTTTCCTCAATAGCACAAGGGGAAGCAGGAAGAAGAAACCACATTTTTCCACCCAGTAAATGTTTGTCGATGTGGGTGCTGGGCTAGGGACACCGAGAACAAGACAGGGCTGCTTTTGCAGCTTCCAGTATGGCAGAGGTTGGAGAGTCGAGTCCTGTCAACCCCCTCTTCTTCCAAGATGTCCTTCCCTTCCCTCCCTCCCTCTTTTTCTTTCAAGATGAAGTCTCGCTCTGTCACCCAGGCTGGAGTACAGTGGTGAGATCCTGGCGCACTGCAGCCTCTGCCTCCTGGGTTCAAGTGATTCTCCTGCCTCAGCCTCCTGAGTAGCTGGGATTACAGGCAGGCATCACCACGCCCAGTTCGGTTTTTTTTTTTTTGAGATGGAGTTTCACTCTTTCACCCAGGCTGGAGTGAAGTGGTGCCCTCTCAGCTCACTGCAACCTTCCCCCTCCAAGGTCAAGTGATTCTCTTGCCTCAGCCTCCTGAATAGCTGGCATTATAGACACCTGCCACTATGACCAGCTAATTTTTGAATTTTTAGTAGAGACGGCATTTCACTATGTTGGCCAGGCTGGTCTCAAACTCCTGACTCAGGGAATCACCCTCCCAAAGTGCTAGGATTACAGGCATGAGCCACCGCGCCTGGCCCTTCTACCAGTTTATTATCTTCTTTATCAGATACTTCAGAATCTGAAATCATCTTTCCTTCTTTTTTTTTTTTTTTTTTTTTTTTTTTTGGTAGAGACAGGGTCTCACTCTGTTGCCCAGGCTGGAGTGCAATAGCAGATCATAGCTCACTGCAACCTCAAACTCCTGGCCTTAAGAGATTCTCCTGCCTCAGCCTCCTGAGCAGCTGGGACTACAGGCATGTGCCACCACACCCAGTTAATTTGTAAAATTTTTTGTAGAGACGGGGTCTTGCTATGTTGCCCAGGCAGGTCTTGAACTCCTGGCCTCAAGTGACCCTCTGGCCTTAGCCTCCCCAAATGCTGAGATTACAGGCATCCACCACTGCGTCTGGTCTGAAATCATCTTCTTGACATAATTGCTCACTTAGCTGCCTCCTGCTTAGACCATAAGCCCAGGGAGGGAGCATGACCTTGTCTGTCTGGAAGGAGAAGAGCTCAGAGGTCAAGAGCACAGGCTGCAGAGCCAGCCTGCCTGATTTCAGTTCTGGCTGTGTCCCTTAGCAGCTGGTGAGTTTGGGGAAAGTGCCTCACTTTCCCCATTTGTAACACCAGATAATACCAGCACCCCCCTTACATGACTGCGGTGAGGGGTGGATGCCTAGCATACTGTAATACTCAAAAAATCTTGGCTGCTACTGTTCTTAGCTCTGTGCCCAGGGTCTGGCACAGAGCACACAGACACTTAGTAAATATTTGATGAATAAATTACAATGGGCGATAAGAGCATTGACAGAGATAGGCATGGGTAGGTGGCACCTAGGTCCCCACGGAAAGTGGGGAGCAGGTCAGGGGAAGGTTTCTTGAAGGAAAGGAAGCCTAAGCTGAGATTTTATGAACAAGTAAGTGATGGCTAAGTCTACAGGGTGGGGAGGAGAAAGGGCTCACCAGGCAGGGACCTAGCACAGGCAAAGCCCCGGAGGGAAGACACAGCTCTGGGCAGACACCGTGGAGTCTATAAACCTTGTGGGATCAGGGCTGTGGCCACAGGGAAGGAACAGAGCAGAGCAAACCAGCTCAATCCAGGCTCTTGAGGGAGAGACCTCACCCCAGGGCACAGGGACACAGTGTTCCCAAGAAACCGTCTTGGTCAGATGCAGCCCAGGAGCAGGAGGCTGCATGGGGTGTGGCGGGATCCCCTCCTGCCCTTGCTGCCGTGCTCCTGGTCTCCAGGTGCGTGCCAACTATTTGCTTGTTGATAATGCTCTTCACCTGGAGAGGCAGCTCCCAGGACTGGCTGCCTCTGGCTCCAGAGTCAGGTGTTTCCCTACAGAAATCTCTGCTGGGCCAGGGGTCAGGGGCCAGGCATGCAGACAGAGACCAGAGAGCCTCCAGAAAAGACTAGGAAATAGAGTATCCTAGCAGGAAGCAGTATAACAACAGTGGAACTGCGTGGTCAGAAGTCAGGCAAGACTTTCCAGGGTAGAAACTAGTTGGATAATGCCTGGAACAACAACCACCATAGCAATAAAAATGCTTATATATGCTCAGA